CGAGTGGCATGCCAGCAGACAATCATGCATGTGCGCGTGCTGGCCCACTACTTGTGCAAGGGCTGCATGCACATGCGCACCGGCCCACCACTCTCATGGCCCAGTTCCCCTCTCCTTCTGCCCCCCCCCCAGCTGGGCCATCAAGCCACAAAGGTTGGGGACCGCTGCCTTCGGCTATGAGCTGCCTGCATTGAAGACAACTATGTAAAAACTCTTGTATGAAGCAAAGCCAATGGGAAAAGTGGCAGGAAGTTGCAAGTTGTGATCATGTCACCTGCACTTAATTACTATGACAATTTGCTTAACCACTGCCAGAACTGAGGTCATAAGTCAGGCACAGCCACATGATGTTTCACTTTATGACCTCATTGCTCAGTGACAGAGTTACTGGTCCCAAATGTAGTTGGGTAGGTGAGGATGAACTGTAAATGAATGTACCTATTGTACTTTATAAAGCAATTGCTATAGAAGCAACAGAGAAAACTAGCTGCATCAGCAATCTATATTCCTTGCAATGCTGGCCATATATTTATTTAGCCAAGCCATAAACATGTCATACTTTAGGCAGTCCACCTATCAATAACTCTGAGTAACCTTTAAAATACCTTTTCAATTTATAACCATCTGGACATATTTACGAGTACTACAAGATAGACTTTTGACTGCAATATGTTTCTTTCAAATAAGTAAATAAGCAACTCACATGGGAGTGCATTGATGTATACTTTTTTCAAATCAAGGATGTGTGCCCGAGGCTGCATTGCAAAACGTAGTGGAGGGGGCAACACTCACCCTGCATTTCATTTCCAGTTTAAGCAGAATATAGGTAAGATTACTTTCCAGTGATAAAATATATAAAAGACATTTTAATTTGGTAAAAGCTTTTGGAGTTGAAGTCAAGGAATCACATATGAGGTGATGCACCTCTGTGTTGAAGTGACATGTGTGCAGTCTCATCAAATCTTTTTTTTTAAAAAAAATTCATAAGATTTTAAAGGGGTCTTGAAAGAGTTTGGTACCCTCTAGTGGCAAGACTGTATTATAACCACCAGATGACTTTTACAATTATTAGAAAAGAAAAAGTCCTCATCTTCTTGCGTATGCCTGGCTTTTAGAAGAAAATGTTATCAGTTCATCATGATTATTTAGAAATAACGCATCCCTTCAGTGAATTATTCAAAGGACATCATGGAACTGACATGGGGAATCTGCTCCCCTTTATTCTGGATGATAATTCCCATCTCACTGCTAAGGCTGATATCCTAGTTCTCTCTTTTGAATTGCCAGAATTTGGGGACTGATACTATGCTCTCCAAGTATGTAGTAAGCAGAATTCTGGGTTTCCATGGATACATGGGATCAAAGGAAGGCCACCCTGATATTACTGACGTTTGATAAGAGGGTAATAATGTCCCTCTCTTTTATCTTAGCCTTCCCCCACCTCCGGTCTCATGGAAAATAGCAGCTCTGCCATAGCCCCACTATTTCCATGCCTTAGCATGTCGATCTGTACTTTGCAATGTTTAGTCTCCAATGCCAAGTAAAGCCTGAGGTGAAAACTTGACAGAAGATGACTCCATTTCAGACAATGGGTCAGCAGAGGGAAGACTTGCTCTTTACCGCCAGCTCAACTAAACTGAAACAGACTTCTTACGACATAATTGGAACAAAGAGCTGGCATATAACAAGTGCGAAACAGATGTAAATAAGAACGGTATAGGTTTCCAAAATTCATGTTTCCCTGAACTTAGGTACCTGCTGCAGCAATTATAGTAAATTAACTGTCAAATCAAATAACTTGGTTATTCCTAGCTATAGCTCAATGATTTGTTTCAGGCCATTAGTTCAGTTCAAACATATATAAAGTTGGCTGGATTGGGGTGGAGCTACTCTAAAGCAAATCCTTGGATAGGTTGGGTTGTGTATGAAGTTTAATAAAACCTATTACCAAGCTACACAGATTTAGTCCCGGTTAATACCTGGACAAAAGGTCATGAGGAAATTACAGGGCTATAGGATGGATTGAAAAATTGAAAAAAATATCCTAAAAGAAGATACTGATAAACCCCCTCCTCATTGCTAGCAAGAAAACATGAGACATCTTTACCTCTATCTTTTCTATAGCATATAAAAATATTCTTAGATTCTTTTCATAAAGCGTTATCTCCTGAAGAATTATGCAGACATTTCTGTGCACACAAGGATATTAAGTGAAATGGCATTGGACCTGGTTACCTCCGAGACCGCCTTCTGCCACAGATTGCCTCCCACCGGCCGATACGCTCCCACAGAGAGGGCCTCCTCAGGGTGCCGTCAGCCAGACAGTGTCGGCTGGCGACCCCCAGGGGGAGAGCCTTCTCTGTCGGAGCACCCACCCTCTGGAACGAGCTGCCCCCAGAGATCCGGGTGATCCNTGGCCTAGGGGTATTTTAAAGGGGTTTTAAATTAAATTTTTAGTAGAAGCGGCCAAATTTAAATAGTTATTTTTAATCTTTTTAAATTTTGTATTGTATTATATCATTGTTTTAAACTGGCTGTAAGCCGCCCTGAGTCCTCCGGGAGAAGGGCGGGGTATAAATTTAATAAAATCAAAATCAAAATCAAAATCAAAATTACTGAGGGCAGAACAAGATGCATGTAGCTCTACCTTTTTTTTTTCCTATAAGAAGTGCTTACGAAGTATATTTAGTGGAATTCCATGGGTCTTACTGTATGTAGAAGTGTACTTGCAGAATGAATGTGCCATGTCTTTTGAAGGATTGATTTGCATTAGCTGCTTGCCAGTTAGCTCCTTTCAGGCCCTGGATTGACTTCGTTTATTCAGAGATGATTGAACCTTTCTGAACAGCTTTCTGAGGTAGCAGAACTCATTGAAGAAAATTACACTTCATAATTTGAAAAGTGTGAATGTCCATTCTGACTTTTTTTTGTCCATCTCTTGGCTACTGCTTTCTGTTTTAGCCCCAAAAGTGGGTTGCTCAGAATTTCTGGTTCCCCCTTCACCTGAATATTTACCAGAGCCCGTCTGGAACATGCTTAGAATGATAGTTTTTCCTTAAATAATTAATGTCAACTTAAATTCACTTTGTACCATATGATACATATTTGATTACTTAAATATCTTCATTAATATTGGTGTTGGTCTCCATTATGTGTTCTTTCACATTTTCTTTTCTCACACTGTACACAAATATGCTTTAAGTTGACATTTTCCTGATATCTGAATATTTTAGTTATTTGCTGTAGAAAAACATTTTGAATTTTTTAATAGCAATAGTACTTAGACTTATATACCTCTCCATAGTGCTTTACAGCACTCTCTGAGCGGTTTACAGAGTCAGCATATTGCCCCCAACAATCTGGATCCTCATTTTACCAACCTTGGAAGGATGGACGGATGAGTCAGCCTTGAGCTGCTCAGAATTGAACTCCTGGAGTGAGCAATGAGTTAACCTGCATTCTAATCGCTGCACCACCACAGCTCCTTTAAAATATACATGTGCACATTTTCTTAAAATACAAATTGTCCTATTGGTCCATTAATCTGTATTCTGCTTCCTTTTAAATAAATGTTAAAAAAATACTTTCCACAATGCCATTGAATTGTAAGATACACCAACCAGTTTAAAATATTACTCAGGCAGCTAGGAACTCTCTCTCTGAAACACACATATATACACACAATTTTACTATATCTTTCATAAATAGTACATCTTCCTGAAAGCGATTCCTACAGCATTCATAAGCTTTCCTAGCCAATCATCTGACACTGTTTCAGGATTCTCATATAATGGTTATTGGATTAAGACTGGGGAAGCCACTATTCAAACCTATCTCAGACCTGGAAGTTAAATGCATGACTTTGGACTAGTCATTATCTCAGTCCAATCTTTGTGGTGCAGGGTTGTTAAAGAAGATGCCATTGTAAAGTGTTCTGAATTCTTGATGGGAAAATAGGATATAAATCTAACAAATAAATGAAATCAACACACACAAAAATCACACAGTCCTGAAGTCTGCCCAAGGCCCATCTGTTTAAGATTCTTATTTACTGCTAGAAATGCGGTATTTATTTATTATCAAATTTATGACACGTTTTTCAGCAGCACTATAAATTTGGCTTATTCAACTACATGCGTACAAAAACAAGCTGTTTGTACAAATAATAATAATAAAGTGATATAGTAGAATTGAAATTTAGTTGTAATATGACCTGGCCTCTTGAAAAATTCAAATGATTGCATTGCTGGTTTTCTTTTTAAGGGCAAAAGAAGCAACACAGGTAGTCCTCAATTTACAACAGTTCATTTAGTAACCATTCAAAGTTACAATGGCACTGAAAAATGTGACTTATGACCATTTTTCTTTTCTTTTTTTATTAATTTATAATGTAAAATACAAAAATGCAAAAGAAAATAGTAGGAATGATAGGGGAGAGAAAAGGGAAGGGATTCATTTAACCATGCTGCTAACTTATCAACTGCAATAATTCACTTAACAACTGTGGCAAGAAAGATGTAAAATGGGGCAAAACTCACTTAACAAATGTCTCAACAAGACATTTTTGGGCTCAATTGTGGCTGTTAAGTCGAGGATTACCTCTACCTGGTTGGTAACACAAAATATCTAACCAACCTAGTAATCTTGACATCAAGTTAAGTATCTAAGTTTGCATTTCTAATTACCAATGCCTAGGTACCCCAATTCCCACAATTCGCTAATAATGTCTTTAATGTATTTTATGTAAAGTATTGCCTTGCAGCATGTGTTCTTTTGTAGGTACCCCTGCCAACTCCCTGAGCAGTCAAGTGGATACCTCTAAATCCAGAAAGGATATAAGGAGTTAGTTTAATTTATCATGTTGCTATTAACACTGCCTTGTACAGAATTATTAATCATACTGACTTAATATTGTGACAATATCAGAAAAAGAGTCAAAAATCAAACAATCCAAGAAATGAGAAACAGAAATAAATTATTGCCTGGGGGGGCAGATATAGAGGGAAATCACAGTATTTATTATTATGCACCGCTCTGATTATTTCATAGAAAGGCTTATTGTCTTATAACTTCTTTTTGCAGTTTACTACTGGTACCTTCTCTTGCTCTACATGTGTTAATTTAACTTAGGTTTATCTGAAGCCTAAACCAAATCCAGAAATGTGTTTAAAATAGTTACTAATTTCTGTTGTATTTCTATTCCATAGAACTTCAGAACAAAGAAAAGTGTTGTTAACTGTGCAGTTAAATATTATTGCTATTCTCAAAACAAAACTGAAGGTGGGGTGGGAGGATTCTGTAAATAGAAATCAATACATTCTTTACAATTTTTCAATGAAGGAGTAATGTGTTTTGGGGGAAAAAGCCAAATTCATATATTACTACTTAACAATAAAGCAAAAATAATAATCAACTCATGAGCATGAGCATGCATGCAAAGATTCCATTGTCTGCATTCTAAAATTGTCTTTTATTTCCTGAATATAAATAGAGCAATAATAAATATAGAATAATAATGCAGTGACACAAGATCAATCTGCTTACCCATAATTATAATGCTACAATGAAGATAGTTAACTGGCTAGTTTTTAAAGCAAGTAGAAATTGGTTTCAGGATACGTTCAATTAGTAAAAATATCTTGTTAACTTAAACACTACAATCAACTCAATACTGGCCTAAGACAACACAGCATTTTTTAAAAATTAAACTTGCTTAATATAAAAACAGTCTTAGTAATATTACATTTTCCAAGTATTAGAAATTTACCATCTAACATTTCTGTTCAAAGTGTCATTTAAAAGAGGAAAAACGCTAATAAACATGGCACGTGAATTGTGCTGCCACCTTAAGAATCTTATTCAGGTCTTAAATTAATGTAAATTAATCACATAAAAGTAATGCTTAGGGGGAAAAAAGAGTTTTAGAAAAGCATAATGATAGACGTGTTGGTGAAAAGAATCTCAGTTTTTTCTAGACCAAGTCATAGTTTCTAAATCTGAATTCTGCCTTTCTATTTATTTGGCTCAGTAAAATGCTTTTGTACTTAAGAGACTTTGGGAAACAATTAAGAAAATCCCTGCATGCAATAGTTAAAGTTAAGTTATGGATCATAATAAAACCATTTAGCTTTTAACCTGTACTTCAAAATACAAAGTATACAAGGAAAATAGAACTATTGAAACAAGGATAATTATCCCCCTTTCTTGCTTTCTAATATATTACAATTTATTTTATTGCAAATAAAAAAGAGTTCTGTAAAATCAAACAATTTAAATAAAAAAGAACTTTTTTTCAAAGGCAGTAATATTTTCTTCAGATATTTGAAATATTTCTACTAGTAGTTGGAAAATAGATATTTTATACTACAATGTAGTAACACGTTTTTAAAGTATTTTAAAATGAAGTTTGCCTAGGGGAAAACAATTGCTACTGAATTGGATACAGAGTTCCTTTTTATTGACATCAGACCAGACTTGACTCTCTCCCCTTTGTAGATAGTAGTGATGTAAGGAAATTAGAAGCTTCAAAGGTTCACTTGATACCTTTCCTCAACAGCATTTTGAAACAGAGTTTCTTCATCCAATTGAAGATTCTAAATAACAAAGTAGCAGTGAATTAGAAACAAAACCTTTAAAATCAAGCTATTTTTCTTTAATGGTCTGCATTATTACTTAGAAAATTGTCAAAATACCATTTCGTATGATTGATTTTATTTAGCTTTATCTTCATATTAAAAGCAGCAACGAGACTTATTGTTAAATTCATTTACTCTGATTCAAGAATGATGTTAAAAATAAACTAAATGAATTTATGTTCAGGTTCCAGACACATACGGAAAACTTCATTTGATTTTAGTGTATCCTGCCATTACTTAAAGGAATTAAGGTACTTCCTAGTCCAATGGTCTTCTTTTATAAATCTCTCTGTTCTTCTCTGAGAGGGGAGAAAAGAAATTTTAAGACGTAAGAACTGACTTCCTGTACCTGGATAGTTTTTTATATGGAAGGATTTCTATCCTCTCATTAAACAAGTTTACTGGTGTTTCTCTTTAACGTGCCACAATTGTTTTGAACTTGTTCCTCTCACACTACAATTTTTGTTTTGTCCCATCTGCTGGACATGCTTACCTACCATAGCATTTTTTTAAATTAGACTTGTCCCAATCCTTATATCCTTCTCTTTTTTTTTTTTTTTTTGCTATTTTATATTCTTTAATTACTTGCATCTGAACTTAATTTCTTTATCTTGGCCTCCAGTCTGATCTTTCACTGTAGGATTGAATGCAACTTTGGTTTTGATTTTTTAATTTTGATATTTTGTTCTTCTGCAACTGCCACTGCTATACTGTAGGCAAGCTGATTAGTCAGTTTGATAGGTGATAGTTTAATCCTTGCAAGTGCCTTATTCACATCCTTCATTATAGGTGCCAGGTCTTTTTTGGACACTACTTTCAATTCAGTCATTCCACTAACAATTCTGCATATGCCATAGTTTTATCTTTTAATTTTTTATTGGGGGAAGGTCAGTTTATAGGTTGTTTCAGTGCTGGCCTGTACTAGTTCTGTTATTATTACTTCTTCTAAGTTATCATTTCTGTAATTCATATCTGCTGTTTCCTCTATATTTCTAATTGTTGTATCTACTATTATACTCAGTCTTTGGGTCTTCCTTTTTCAGATTTTTCTGAATCTTTTCCAATTATGCAACCCTGAATATTTTATTTCTGGTAATGAATCTCCTTTGATCTGGTAATCATTGTTCACTGATATTTGAGCTGCGGTGGCTCAATCCATCCTTGTGAGGTCGGTAAAATGAGGACACAGACTGTTGGGGGCAATATGCTGACTCTGTAAACTGCTTAGAGAAGGCTGTAAAGCACTGTGAACTGGTATATAAGTCTAAGTGCTATTGCTATTTGTGATATTGCTATATTTGGTATTTGATTCTAATAAGTAGAAAGTTGTGGAAGGAATAGGAATAGAATAGACATCTCTTATTTTAAAAGTACATATAGTGTTTCTTCTTTTAAAAGAGAAAATACTAATCATGCTCTACCCATAAAGTTAAAAAGCCTTTAAGAAGGGAGTAAATTGATGTTAAAAAGCCACTAGTCTCCACTAGTGCCAGTACCAATCCACCTCTGGCTGAGCTTGAAAAAGCTAAGCAAAATCTGACCAACTTAGCACTTAGATGGAAAAAAAAAAAGGAAATCCCAGGGATATAGACCTGGGGAAAAATTAATAGAAACTATTTCTGAACTGTTGCCAGGAAAAATAACACAGAGATCTCTATGTAATCAGTTTGGGTAAGCTTGAGTAGATTTTTTTTTTTAAAAAAACTTAATTACTCCCACCCGGTTCTGCAATGTTGATATGGTATAATTTTTCCAAATCTAAATATTTTAAGTGCTCAGATATGTTTAATGAATGAAATGCAACTTCTGTGCTTATTAAAGTATGATCTATGCCAAATTTAAGGAAAAAAGTGAAAATACGATTATTAAAAATGGAAAAGTTCTGTCAAAAAGAGATAATTTTTTAAAAAATATGTCATTTCATTCTGCCTTATTTTACACACCTTGTAATTAACATAATTTCAAATAAGTATTCTTCAGAAGAAAAAATCTTTTTTTTTTTACATAACACGTAATTAAATTTTATAATTCACTACCATGAGATGTAGTGCTGGCTACCACTTGGTTGGCTTCAAACAAAGAGTTGCACCAATTCATGGAAGTCTTGGGGATCTATGACAAATAATCTGGATGGCAATGTGACTGCCTCTGAAGGCCATCAGCTGGGAGATAGGGGATTCTTTGCACAGTTAGTTGCCTGGACTAGACAGGCCAGGGGTCCAATCCAGCAGTACACTGCTTATATTCCTAGGGCTGACTTTAATAGTAATAACAACAAAAATAACAATAATTATTAAAACTTGTATCCTTAAATATTAACTCTTTTTTATACCATTTGAGCTAAGCTATAAGAGTTCTTATTATTTTACATACAACAAGCTTTTTACACATGTACTCACTGCTGGGTCTACTTGATAAAGATGCTTGTCATTACAATGATCCAATAGAGTCTGCCTTGTGAAGTTACTTTCTTGACATAGAGGGCATTTGAATGTAGGCTGCTCACTGAAATACAAACAGCAACAGAATAAAAAATTAAATAAAAAGTAGAGAAGCAGCATGCAATATGTACAAGGAACTCAATGGATAAAAAACAAGCTCATAGGACCATCTGATGTTTGCAGCAAATGACTAATTCAATACGATTTTCCAATACTGACAACAGTCAGTTGTAGTGATTGAATAACAGAGTTGGAAGGGACATTGGAGATCTTCTAGTCCAGGGCTTTTCAACTTTTTCACCCATTGTACCACTTTTAGAATATGGCAACATCTGAGTACCACCAATCACCTAGCAAGGTGTCAAAAACTTGATGACCCCCCCCAAAAGGAAAAAAGTGATAAAGTACAGGTAGTCCTCAACTTACAACAGTTCGCTTAGTGACTCTCCAAAGTTACAAAGGCACTGAAAAAAGTGCCCCCCAAGCCACAGACGAGCAAGACACCTGCCTGCCCACCTGGCAGCGCTCTTCCTCCTGTCTGAGGTTTTCATTGTTGTGAGCATTTCTGTTGAGGATTGGCAGCGGGGGTGGGGTGGGGGGGTGTTTGGTTCTTATTCCCCCCGTCTGCTGGGTGGTTGCAGCAGGTTTTGGTCACTTCACATGACCCTGGGACACTGTGACCGTCATACATATGAATCAGTTGCCAAGCATCTGAGTGTAAATCACAAGACCCTGGACATGCTGCAACATTCCAGCTGATCAGCGCTTCTTCTGGGCTCAGCAGAAGCACCAGGATCAGTGCTGCTTTCCAGCTGATTGGTGCTTCTTCAGGGCTCAGCAGAAGCACCAGGATCAGCGCCGAGCTCCAGCTGGAGCCTGGCACTGATCCTGGCGCTTCCGCTGAGCCCTCACAGCCCTGCAGCTCCAGCCATCTCTTGCTCAGGCAGCACCAGTTCAGCTCATTCCCCTCCCCCGCTACCACTTTTCTAGAATGGTCGCATACCACCTGCCAGATGCCAATGTACCACAGGTGGTACCCGTACCACTGGTTGAAAAGCCTTGAACTAGGACTCCAAGATCCCTCTCACAGTTAGTGCTTTTGAGCCAGGTTTCACCTAATCTATACTTGAACATTTGGTTTTCCTTGCCCAAGTGTAAAACCTTACTTTTCTCTGTACTGAATTTTATTTTGTTAGGACTCAATGTTCAAGTCAGTCGAAATTCTTCTAGATCTTGACCCTCTGGGGTGTTGGATATTCCTGCCAGCTTTGTGTCATCTGCAAATTTGATGAGTTCCCTTCTATTTCCTCATCTAAATCATTGATGAAGATATTGACGAGTACTGGGCTAAAACGGAACCTTTAGGTACTCCACTGTTTACCTCCCTTCATATAGATGTAGTTCCATTAAGGACTACATAGTGAGTGTGATTTGTCAGCCAGTTACAAATTCATCTGGTGGTGATGCTGTCTATCCTACATTTTTTAACTTACCCACAAAGTAGGTTGTAGTCTACTCTGTCAAATGCCTTACTAAAATCCAAGTATACCATAGCCAAAGCATTTTGCTAGTCTATTAATTTAGTCACTTTGTCAAATAATGAAATAATGTTGGCTTCTAGTTATAACTTTAATTTGCTTCTAGGTGTTTGCAGATCTATTACTTATCTTTTTCAGGACCTTCCCAGGTATTGAAGCCAACTGACTGGTCTGTAGTTTCCTGGATCTGTTTTTTTCCCTTTTTTGAAAATGGAAACCATATCAGTTCCTTTCCAGTCCTCTGATAATTCCCCAGTGCTCCAGAATCTTTGAAAAATATGGTTCAATGGCTCCAAGATCACGTCTACCAGCTCCTTCAGAACTCTGAGATATAATCCATCTGGTCCTGGTGATTTGAACTTATCTAGAGTGGACACGTGTTCTCTTACCCTTTTCTTGCCTATTTTAATTTGTATTCCTAGTCTTGTCTTTTACGGTTCTGTTTTTGATAGGTTATGCTATTTTTTCCTTTTGCGTGAAGACAATGCAAAGAAGGAATTAAGCAGCTCTGCTTTCTCCCTCTGCTTGTCACTTCCTTGCCATCTTGATAAAGACACCACTTCTGACTGGTAGCAGGGATCAGAGTATCCCTCTGTTGCTTCCGTAGTTGCAGGCAATTAATAAATACCTGGGTGTTTTTTTTCCAGAGCGGGGTGCCCAAAGGCTTGCCGGCAATTTATTTTTCTACCAATGGCTAGGGCCAGCACTGTTTCCCTTACAATGGAGTTCTTCCAGGAAGAATCTGCTCTTCCTGGGGGAAAGAAGGTATAACTCTCCCATTATCCTGGCCCCTATGATCAATGATGTAGAATAGTTTATTATTACCAAATTGACACATATTGCAATAGCTATTTCTTTACTACTTCATACAATACTTTAAAAATTAGCAGTTCACACAAACGTGTTGTAGCTTTTGTGTTATTTTGGAATATATTTTTGTTAAGTCCACCCTCTTCCTAGTCATAGAAACCAATAGTTACTAATAAGCAGGGTTATTCCTACCTTGCAGGTTCTTCAGGAACATGTAGATTAGAATTTTCTCCCATTTCCAAAGTAGAAGAATCACTCCCAAAACTGAGTGAGAATTTATTTTACAGTAAATAAAAAAATCTTAATAGTTATGATTATTAGATAAATCCTTCTATCTTTGGTTGATATCTCTAAATTTGAAAAACAAAATTCATTTGAATAAAATGTATGCATATTTCTTCCAGATTCTCTCTATGTATGTATATGTGTATGTATTTATATATGCATACACACACTTATAATTGGAGGGAGGAACAGAAATAGGAACCAAGGAGGTAGCATTTTTTTCCTAAGAACTGTTAAAAAATACTAGTGAAAATGCTCTCAAGTCATTCTACACTGCAGTTGATTAAGTGGACTGCATTTCAACCCCCTACTGTAGTCTACAGAACTTGGGCTTCAGGTGGTTTTCCAAATACTAACTAGGTCTGTCCTTGTTTCCCTATTTACAACTTCACACAAGACCTCCAGGACCTGCTATCAGTTTTACCATTTCTGTATAATTACAAAATTCCCTCTAATACATTTAATATTAATTTTAACTATATTTATTTATGTAGTTAAATCTTAAAATAGTTGTGCCTTCATATCAGTCAATAGGGAACATATAAATATGAATGACATAACACTGCATTCAGCAATTTTTGTCTGTAAAAATTAGTGATATATATTCAAAATAAGGAACAGTTGCTTTATCTCTTAAGTTTCTCCTGAGAACTAGTTCAGAAATGAAAGATATTTTTAAATTGAGATGAAAGGGAGAGAAAAAGGCTAAAGAACAGCAGGTTGAGCAAAAGGCAGCAGCATGTGTATTAATCAACTAAAGTGACTAAGCTATACAAACATGTTCTGTGCCTAGTTGGTATACAAAAAAAAAACCACCCCAACAAACCAGGGGTTAGTCTTTAATTTCTAAATAACAAAATTTTATTGTAATAAAGATTATCTTGACATAATTTAAATTTACAAGTGGAAACTTGACATAGATGACTTTGATAACAGGTAGAAACAACTGCTTGTTCAGATTTAGTACAACTCTCTCACCATGTCAAGTAAAAAGTATAAATCCTATATCTGCGTTTCAGCACAAAATTAAATAATAAATACTGTAAAAATCAGTGGCTATAGAAGAAAATAGAGATAACCTTGATGAAGAATGCATGAATTACTACAAGAAAGTAAATGACAAAGGAGAAAGCATGAGGAAGAAACTGAAAACACTCCCAACTTGATTCTGTTTGGCATAAGATTCTGGCAGTGTTTAGGCCCAAGCAACCAGAACAGCTCCAAGAAAGGTCAAATAGTTTTATTTAGTGTTAATCACAATTTACAAAAATCTTGCCAGACTCTTTGCCTTCCATTGGGAAATGACAAGGCAAACCTAAGTGTTTGACCTCAAATGTTTCCTCCCCTGAATGAACTGTAAGCTGCAATGTCATTTAAACACCCCCTCCTCCCATAGGGCTTCTTCTCCTTCAGTCAGTGGTTCTACCACAGGCAGGCTTTCAGGATTGCTATTATATCTTACAACAGCAAAGTGGTATTCCTGAAAACCTTGCTCTGTTTATTTCATGATCTGGCTGACTCAGCTGACAATAGCTCTTATCTCCATTCAAATATTTAAGAAATCTGAAGAAATGCATTTAAAAAAACAAATACTGATGCAGTTATACTCATATATTGAACAATACATTGACATAGAACTTCTTGGTTCTGGCTCAAATATTTTTTTAAAAGTACTTTTATATTAAAAACTCATAGTTTTATGAACCATATATGCAGATTATTATATTTTAAAACAGATCACTACTTCAATAGAACAAAAGCTTGCACACTAAATTACATAAGGAAATGTTTAGAATTTTATTTTATAGTGGAACTAAAGTTCCAAAGTTTAAGGATTTATTTTAGCCCTGTCCTAATCACATTGGAAATAACATTAAGAAATGTACAACTCTGTATTTCAGCCATGAAGAAAATTCTGTAGTATAAACATTATTCATTAATGTTTATAGTACAGAATTACTGTAATATAAACCGTTAACATTTGGTTTAGATATTCTTTGAAAAAATATAAACTACACATCACCTGTTTCCTGTTGAATCCTGAGATATGTCTAAGTTTGGAATTATAGAAGGAACACCATATTCATCTTGATACCTCTTACATGATTTATAATGCTGCCTCATACGAGAGAATCTAATCTGTAAAAGATGTATTTCATTTAGATTTTTAAATAGTGGTATAAAAAAATACTTCAGAAAGCCACTTTAATGATGTGTTAAGATGCTGGGAGAGTCTAACAGCTGGGAGACGACTAGTTCTCGTCCTCTCTTTGACATAAGAGCTGGCTGGGAGATTTTGGGTCAGCCTCTCTCAGCACAATGCACCAAATATATTATTGTTGTGAGGAAAATAGAAATCAGGAGTATTAGATAAAGGTGGGATACTAAAAATAATAATCTCAAAGGGTGGATAAATCAAATAGCTTATGCAATTTTAGGGTGCATTCTAATGAGTCTGCTTTTGAACAGGATAATGCTGATAGATTAGGTGGGCTTTCTTCCCACACTTGTTCTACAAGTTTGGAAGAGCCTCTGGATTAAGTATGTGTATGTTTGGACTTCCGGTTCTGGTTCGCGGCATCTGCAGTCATGTAAAGAGACTCGTCTCTTCACCGACCGATTTTCATTCGCCGGTAGACCCCGAAGGGGGTTGAAAGTCGCCCTGGAGGGGCGACCACCGATGAGGGGGCTTGCTGCTGACTGTGTGAGGGCGGCAACTTCTCCCGCGGCTCCAGCTGACTCCTTAGGGCCGACGGAGTAAAGATCGTCCTGTAAGATGGCCGATCATCTAGCTGCACCAGACGAAAGTCACAAGAACATCTAAGCATTAAGAACCACCGCGGATGATCCGGGTGAGATCCTTCCTTTTCCTCTCTTCACCCTTTTTTCCTTTTTTTGCCTGTAAAAAGCCTTCTTGGTACTACTTCCCTGCCCTAAGAGAGCAGTGTTTGTTTGAGTGGGAAGAAAAGCGTTGAACAAAAAGACAGAATAATTAACTTTATTGTCTATATTTTACTTTTAACTGGGGTCCCGAAAAAACCCTTTTATAGAGCTTTTCTCTCTCTCTCTCTCTCTCTCTCTCTCTCTCTCTCTCTCTCTCTCTTTCTGTATATATATATATAAAAGGAAAAAGATTTCTTGAAAGAATCTAACCCAATGAGGACATCTTGCGGTGAAACGTAAATACTGCAATTGCCTGCATTTACTTGGAGATGAGGTTGGTCTGACTTTCAAACTGTTGTAAAAGGGAAAAGATTAAGAAGTTTGCAGCTGTTAGAAATTGTGGGGGTGGACATTGGTTAATCCTGTTTAAATATAGCCTCCACTAAAAGATAAAAGGACTGCTTCTAACTATTATTGAAATGGAGAAACCTTACTTATAACTAAACTGTAAACTTATATTGGAAAAAAATCATGAAGCTACTGAGCAAGTATGTGCTAAAATAAAAGAGATTACTGCAGAATTAAGAGTCAGAAACCTCACTACAAATCTTCAAACTGACTTTCAGACTTTAATTGACTAACCTATAAGCCAAAATACATCAGAAGAGGAATTAACCTATATTAACATGATTTTGTTTTTTGATGATTGATTACCCCATCACCACGGTGTACCTAGAGCACCTTGTTGTAAAACTTAAAAAACCAATAAAACTTGTTTTTTTAAAAAAGTATGTGTATGTTTGCAGCAACAATTATCCACTTTTAAAAGTAACTATTTTCTATTTACTGTACCTGTTTTTCACAGCATCTACAACTCCCCACCAACTTCTTCATGTCATTTTCAACATCTAAGGCTCTGTTGGGACGTGCTTTTTCTTTTCTGGTTACAATGCCTCGACATAATGGACAGTGTGGTCCACCTTCTTTCATAGCCATTAAGAAACACTTCCTGCAAAATCTTAACCAAATATAATGTGGCAGTGAATGAACAGACAAATGGCAAATCAGAGTCAAAGAAAGTGACATGCTCTAAGACAAATCATCATCCAAATTTCAAATCTGCTGTGATAACTATATTAATGGGGGCTAAGGAGGAAATATGTGATAATAACCATTAAAGCGTTATTAAAGCATGAAAGGGGAACAGGTAGATTCTGGAAGGACAAAAACTCAATGCCTATTCATCATAATTAGAAGCAGTACATACATCAGCTCCACTAGATAGATCAGATCAGAAAATCAAATCTACAAGGCTAATGTTATTTTTATTGAAATTGGCTATAGGAAACAGACACCTGCAAGTCTGACTGTGCTGTATCTATTTTCCCTAGATAATGTTCTTGAATATTCTGGAAAAAGGGCAATATTACTCCTATAGACATATTCTTATAATAGAAAGGAAGAGTGGGAGGGAAAGAAACAAAACATTGAAAATGGGTTAGTCAGATACCCACACATGTTGACAAATGGAAATCCTGACAGGTGTTTTGAACACATCTTGGCAGACAGGACAATAATAATCATCTTCATTGAAACAAATTGTGGCAGGTTCCTCATTCATGATAGCAAACTGTGGTATTTCTGAAAGAAGAATTAACATCTAAGCTTGAACACTAGTGGCATTTACAAAATCACCATCAATCAATTGCAAAAGACACTTTTACTTGGAAAAACTTGCATCCTGCAAGGATACCTTTAACACTATCAAACAACAGGTCCTTGGAAAGGAGTTATGTAGATAAAATGCCAAATCCAATCTAAACATTTGGCTGTGTGCACCAATCATAATCATAATAATAATACAACTATACTATACTAGAGGCAATACTAATATTAAAGTGCTATTTTTATAATACACACACACAGTGCCATGTATATCCCCATCCTGGATTAATAGAAAAGCAGAGGCAATACATAAAACTGCAATTAACTGATCATGAGTAATGAATTGGGGGAACATAATATTTTTCAGAGTCATTTTGCAATGTGAGGAATTATAGCTCTCCTACAATTTGACTATTTCAAAACTATGATTTGAAAACTGAAAATGAAGATTGAAATAATGTATGACCACAGCAATGGTAGTTTGGCATAGCTTGTCCACCATCATAGTGGACTTCTTTTGCCTCTGCTCTGGAATTTGGGGAAAGAATAGGCAGCCTCAACAGCCTGAAATACCATCTCTTTCAAATTTCTTTTCTAATCTTCCACTCCACGTGAAATCTATTTTTTACAAACCCTTTGCACAGGTTTCAGTCATCGTACCTGGAGCCTTGCATTCTGTCAGCCACAGGCTTTTTTTAGGGCTACATCCTCAACATTTGCCTTTTTCTATATTCTCTTGCCCTTTAATAAACAGTTGCCTGGATTTTGGGAGACCAAAAATAGACTGTAACTCACACTGAAACTTTTTCTATTTAACTAAAAATAAACAGGGCTCGCCTTGGCCCTGTGGTCTTCGAATCTTGCTCTCTCTCTCTCTATAGGGCGGCTTATATGTGTTGATAAAATATTTTAATGAGTCTTGAATTTCCTTCTCGTTTTGGAATCTGACTGGAAGACTTCTAAGTCGAAAAATGGATTTTAAAAATTAAAAAGAAACGGAAGCTCCTGTCACGCCCCCCCAAAGTGTAAGAGGCGCGCGAGCGTGAAGAGGAATCGCCTGTGTGACGCGCGGAAGCCTCAGGAGTGGGATGTTGAGCTACGCGCCCGAAGCCTCTCTCGGGCTTCTCAGGTCTCGGTCAGGCAAATCCTCCCTGAAGGGTGCCCGCCCTGAGCCTCCAGGTGCCGCCAAGAGCTACCGCCACTACCTGTCGAGAGAACGGGAGGGTCTATCGCAGGCCTCGGGACTGGGCCGGGATCTTCAAGGCTCCCCGAGGCCAAACCGGTCAAACCACCACTGCTCTCCATAGCTGTTAGGCCGCCGCAGCGGCGGCGGCGGCCTAGTCCCAAGAGGCGGTCCCAGGTTGCCATAGCAACAACTCCCTCCTCTCGTCTTGCGGGAATTGTTATTGAACAAGAGTAGCTACCGCTGCCTCCCTCGGCCCTACGAGGGGCGGCGGGAAAGCTGCCTTTCTCGCTCCTCAGCCTTCTCACGTGTGAACTAACTGGCCCCGGAGCTCAGCTGCGTGTGTAGCAGCAAAGCCAAATGGCTTCGTGATCCGCTTGTTCGGGAGGGAGGCTCAAGAACCGGGCTCAGAAAGCCGTCAAGAAAAGAAGCGCCCTCGCCCCTTAGACCCGCAGCCCAGGCCTCTTTATTTGCGAGGAAGCCCTAGCCATGGAGCATATGACTTGAATTTCTTAACTGGGCTCTGTTCGATCTCTGTTTTAACTGTTTTACCCGTTAATGGTACAAACATTTTAGAGGCTGAGTGACGCAGCTCTTTGTGTCAGGTTATCCACCTTTTCGTCTCTTCCCCCCTCCCCCCCCAGCACGCCTCCTGTAAGTGTTAATTATGGACCTTGTTTTACCTGCTGAAACTTTTATTATGTGGTGATTAAGAGAACGGTCCTACGGGCTGGAAGATTTGGAAAGCCCCAAGCCACCCAAGTCAATTATTTCCGTTTCTTTTCTGGGTTAACCTTAAGAAGAACACAAGATTTTCTCTTATTGTTACGTCGGCGATTTCTACTTAGGCAGCGAGGCTGTGTGTAAACGTCAAAAGAACTCTGGTTTAACATAGGCAAGGTCGGCGTTTTTAAAAGGCGACTTCTGTCGTCCCTCTCTTGTCATAGCACGGTTTGGAGCATTGCGACCGCCGCCTCTTAACTGCGGTTTGCACCGTAAATTGGCTCGGCAGCCTTTTTACAGTGTTTCTCAACCTTGACAATTTTAAGGCATGTGGACTTCAACTCCCAGAATTCCACAGCCAGCAATGCTGGCTGTGGAATTCTGGGAGTTGAAGTCCACATGCCTTAAAATTGTCAAGGTTGAGAAACCTCTAGGCCAGGGGTAGGCAACCTTGGCTCTTTTATGACTCGTGGACTTCAACTCCCAGAATTCCTGAGCCATCCAAGCTGGCTCAGGAATTCTGGGAGTTGAAGTCCACGAGTCATAAAAGAGCCAAGGTTGCCTACCCCTGCTCTAGGCAAGCGGACTGCAGCCTAGAGAGCCACCAAGTGACCATCCCAAGCTATGGCAAATGAGAGATAGCTACAATCAAGTCAACTGTTCAGTGTTAGCGTAATAAAGATATACTGAGGCTCTGTGTTTTCATTTGTATCTCTTAATAGCACTTGATAGCCATGACATAGCTGACGGGATATGCCATTAAATCCAAAGAGTAAATTATTTATCTGCATCAGCGTATGCCAGGCAACGTGGTTTTCTAGAAGAAAAACTGCTTCAGGGGGTGGGAGGGACAATTATCAAAACATGAATTGAAAGTATTGTTGCCTTTAATGTATAGTAAGGTGCACCAAAGTATCTGGTGAAAGATAATTAACACATGTGGTGACTTTGAGTTCAATAGTTTATCCTATACATTATTTACAGTTGAGAAAATGGGCAGTGGTTACAATCCTAAATCTTTTACTCCCATCATTTACTTCCCTTTAAATGTGTACATAAACATATATTTGGACATAGTGAAATTTGTGATGTAAATGAATCTATGTGTAAGTAGTTATTTGTGACCAACTGCTTTTATTTTTATAGGGGAATAAGATCTATTCTCTTATTTACTTTTTAAAATCAGAGCAGTTCTGAACTGATGTCTAGCTAGAGTCGGCTCATACAATAGATTAAACTGAAACCAAACTATGTTAAGGTTTATTGCAGTGGTTCTCAACCTTTTTAATGCCGCGACCCTAACCGGTCGTAAGTCGAGAACTAAACCGTTCGTAAGTCGAGGACTAAACCGGTCGTAAGTCGAGGACTAAACCGGTCGTAAGTCGAGGACTACCCAACCGGTCGTAAGTCGAGGACTTTCCCTGCCCGGGAGTGCCGCGCATGCATGGTTCCGCCCCCTGCGCCGGCCGAGGCGTAGCTGGCAAGCGGCAGAGACAGAGCAGGCCGACCACCAGCTGGCCCAGCCCAAGGGAGGTAAGGCACCTGCCAGAAAAGGGGGAAAAAATGGCGGACAAAAAAAATGGCAGACAAAAAAAATGGCGGACAGCCTTGCTTGGCGACCCCCATGAAATGGTTGATCGACCCCAAATGGGGTCCCGACCCACAGGTTGAGAACCACTGGTTTATTGTAATGTGTAAATCCTGTCACTAGGTTGTGTTAGAAAGTCTTCTTAGTCATGGTTTTTCTCATTCATAGAATTTTATGAGGTAATTATGCGCCATCAGGTTGCTTTTGACTCCTAATGACCATGTAAGTATATTTTCCCTGTATTTTTCTGTCTGGATTTTTCCAGTAAAAATACAGTGGTGGTTTAACATTGCCTTATCAGTTTATTGGATACAAAATGATAATACCTTCCTATTTTCCAGTTATTGGGGGGTTTTTTTACAAAAAGAGAAAAATGAAAGGAAGTTGGAATAAATGAAAAACGTTAATTTCAAGAAGAATCACTTTTGGAAACAGCTTCTGAGTTTAAAGGATTTCATGTTTCTGACAGATTTTATTTTTTATAATGTTTTTATTTTATTATGAAATTTATTTGCCACCCATCTCATTTCAAAATGACTCTGGGCGACTTGTATGATATTCATACATAAGTATGCTGAGTTACCATGCAACTCTATGCATGTTTACAAATAAATGAAAAATATGTCTGAATCTTCTCAAATTCCTTCCTGTACTTATGTGTCTTATTTTTATTTTAGCTAAAAAGATATGCCAGATGTTCAAGATTGCTTTAGAAATGACCAGGGACCATGAGACATTGTTGATCTCTATGAGTAATTGAAAAAAGCCAAACACCAAAAAGAAGTCAGTACAATAGATCGGCATTTGATTGTTGATTATGTCAAATTGTGGAAAGTGCTTAGAAAAATAGGAATCATAGAACATCTCATTATCCTCATGGGAAACATGTACAAGTCAGGAAACCACACAGTACAGACAGAACATGGTAAAGGGACAACTCCAGGTTTGCAAAGAAGTGAGATAAGACTGCATATTTGCCCTTTATTTATTCAACTGGTCAGTTACTTTTTCATCAACAGTGTAATTGCAAAAAGTTACTGTACAAGGCAGTCGCTAAACAATACTTGTAGCAAAAGTTTTATTTATAGTCTTAGCTTATAGAAACTGTTAGGTGTCTTCAATTTATTGTTAACTTATTTATTTGACTTTTATCCCGCTATAAAAATAACTTCATAAGTAACTCAAGACGGCAAACATATAATACTCCTTCCTATTTTTCTCGCAACAATCCTGTGAAGTGAGCTGAGCTGAGAAAGTAGGTTTTCCTCCTTTTACATAATGTATATCAGTACTATTATTTATGCATGCATTAACAGTGTTCTGTATTTTTAATTTAGCAACATTGAGGTAAAATATGGTTTAAAAAAATACTATTCCTGCCCTCTGGCCTTCCAAAAGGGCCTGAACATCTGGTTCTGCCAACTGGCCTGGGCCTGCAATGAAGTTGTGTCATTCTGGAGGTGGCTAAGGGTGGATAAAGACAAGACTCCACTTCCTCCCCATGCACATCTTTCTCCTGTCCTCTCCATCATGGTCAATTTTAATTCACATTTAATTCTTTCATTTATTGTTTTAATGTTTTATATTGGCATTTTGATTGATTGATTGATTGATTGATTGAAGCCACTAAGAGTCACTTTTGGCAGGATGGGCAGCATATAAATTAAACATACATACATAAATGTAAGGCAAATTAAGCTACTTAAAAATATCAAATGGAACTGTTCCTGGCAAGGCCCTGACAGATCTTACCAGCAGTTAAAAGAGAACTTGATGACATTACAGTACAAGAGAGTATAGAATTCTAATGAACTAGAAGGTAACTTAAGGTAAATAGTGCAAACTAAAACCTGAGGTAATAAAGATGTAGTTAAAATTCATATCACAGTTCATGGTAACACAACAGAAAAAGCACATTACTTGTTTCAATAGCTCTTGATTTGTAGTGACAAAGGCGTTCATTGTATGGGATTTTCTGGAATCTACCTTCCAGAATCAGAATTTGTAAAGCATTGCAGTGGCAAGTGTGAGAACTCTCTGAAATGTTAGTGTAGCAGATTGAGATGTCTGACAGGCTTATGTCTAGTGACATCACACCCCCATTGTGATCAAAACTGAATGTAGAAGCCACAATAATGCAGCTTATCCTCCAGCCCTCTTTTCCATTTTTAAATGAAAAAGTTATCTAACACATGTGGAGCTAAGTTACAGAAAGTTATTAGCTTTAGTCACAATTTGAAGATGCTGTTTCATGCATCGGCTCCAACTTTAAGAAACTTCAATTGTTTCTATATGAAGAGCAGCATAGGAATAGTTGTTTATTGATTGATTAGCCTTAAAGCCTTATCAATAAAATGACATAAAATATAGTACATATCTAATTCTGGAGTAAGATAGGAGGAAATAGAGTGATAAAATATGTATGTATTAACACAAGGAGTCAAATTAATTTCTCTTACAGGATACCTCAATTTGTTCAGTGGGTCGGGTTCTTGGGACCACTGTTCTTAGTTTATAATTTATATGACAATCAGATCCCTGTGGGGTATTCTTTCTAGTAGGGATGATTTAAATATTTAATAGGGGCATATAATTGACAGTCTAACAAGGTATGAGAAATATTTTCAATGGTTGCAGTACCTCATATGAAGGTTCTCTCATATGGCAAGTGGTGGAAATGCCCATATTTGACCATGGAGTCCAACAACTCAAAATCTTGCTCTAGAATAGGCCCTTCTTAAAATTTGTGTCAGACCCAATGATAGGTATTTTTCAGGTTGAAAAATAGTTTTATTCATGGCCAACCAACCTATTATTTTTAGCCAATATTTCCATGTAGATTGGAATAATAGTATCTAAGGCTGTTTAAAAACTTCCCTGCCTTGAGAGTAGATATCGTGTGTTATGAAATAACTGGAAAGTTGGCTGACTCAGGAGTTGACCTGGGCCTTACTTATCTGTTCTGTTAAGCATATTTTGGGAAGTCTCTCAGAGTCCATTGAATGGATCCTCTGCTAGTATGTGAAAAGTTTAATTATCAAGTGGCTATGTAAGAAATGGATATCTGTTTCCACTCAAAGTGCAGTGTCTTGTCAGTTCCCAGTACACATCTTAAAAAAATGGACCTGAACTTGTTCAAGTGGGGTAGCTTTATTAAGGCCCCACAATTCTGCACATTGGTCATTGGGATTATTTTTGCCCTTAATACTTTCAGTATAAAAGTACATGGATAATGTAATTAAATAATTTGTATAATCTTTTAGTATTTATCCCAATTCTTCCCAAAGTTTTTAAAAAACAATTTAACTGTGACCCAATGCTGGTAAAATCACTAAGTAGATAAAATAATTCCCTTGTTCCACAGACTCCCCATTTATCTTCCAGCTATATTTCACACTTTTTCTGCTACCATCACTTTTAATTTGGTTTTATTGCTGCTTAAAGAATTAAGAGCACAGTAGATATTTAGCTTTTGTAGCAGTCTTCTGAGATGGATTCGGGAATGTGCCATTACAACCATGTCATCAGCACATAAAAGGATATTAATAAATTTATCATGGATCTTTGGTATGAGTGTTTTATAGCATACAGGTAAATCATTGACACAGAAATTAAAAAGCATTGGGGCTAGGATACAACCCTGTCTGACACCATTAATGGGTGGGTATACTCTTCGCTAAAGAAGGTTTACACCTGTGCAATCTTTCAAATGGCTATTTCGGTAGAGCCTTAACCAAAAATAAGAGTCTGGGTTCCATATTTAAGCTGGCCAAATTTCATCCACAGAATATTTGTATTTATGGAATCAAAAGGTGCATTAAGTTGTATAAATATGGTAAACAGTTTCTTGCGATTTGTTAATTGTTAAAGAGTATATAAAGTAAAACTATGTATTCTAGAGTGCTCTGGTCCGAATTCAGCCTGTTCCTCTACTAAGATATTTTTTCCCTGAATGAAGGCAAATATATCTGTCCCAGGATAATGTTGCAAGATCCAATCTGGGTTGGTCACTGGGACCAGTTTAGTCTTCCGAGCTTTCAGACTCATGGTGGAGCCCATCCTCAGGGAACTTCCTTCTAAAGATTTTTTTCCATTACCCAAACTTCTACGGTATTTTGCTTAACAGGAGTTTCACATACATTTTATCCACAATTCCAATAAGGCTTATCATTCTATGTTTTGGGGTCACCTTTGTCTCTTTTTATACAGGGAAACTATAATGGTGACTTCCCATCCGAATGGAATACAACCTGTATTATTTATATGGGTAAACAGCCAGCTAACAGAGGGACCTACAAATCAATATGAGTCTTAAAGAGTTCTGGGAGTAGAAAACTTCCAGGTGCCTTATGAGATTAAATCTTCCCAAACTGAGTCTGTAACGGGAATCTCAAATTGAAAATCTATGTTCCTTCAATAAATCGGTTTTTTAGAAATCTGAATTTGTTCCTTTCACTGAAACTTCCAGATCTGACCATATTTTAACTTTATAGGAGGCATTTTAAAAGACTATCAGTTTCTTATATTCATGCTTAATTTTTAGCATTTAGCATGTTTTTTTGTGTGGTAGGATAACCCAGGGGTCTGACACATTGCTGCCCTTAGTAAATTTGTGGTACATAAACAGAATCAAATCAATTTAAACATATTTGTTGACAGTTTCTAGTAGGAAGTTTGTCTGTTAAAATTTTTCTCAGCAAATGACACAGATACATGTATTGGGTCGGGATTTTATTTGAACCTTGGGTAAAGAAGGAAATTGACTTTCTCCAAGTCTAGGCTTGTTCTGAATTTAGAAAGCTAGATAATGCCTTATCAACCTTGACTCAATTAAGCTTTCTGTTCTGCCTCACCTCAAGTTTAGCTAATATACTCTTAACATGAGACATGTATAATTTAGTATCAGATCTGCCTTGGAATCCTCCCTCACATCAAGTTCGATATCTGAAAACAACTTTTTGTTTCATGTAATCTAAAACACTGCTGGAGTTTCCTGAATGGTATGTAAAAGTATATACAGTATAAAACCAGATTTTTTATCATCTAAAATGCGGAGATTACATTTATAAATCAAGGAGACTAATTGTGAACCTGCAGTATTTCTTTTGGTGTCTCTAAAGCAGGGTTGTCAAACTGCCGGCCCGTGGGCTGGATGCATCATAGCGAAACCGCGCTCACCCCATTGCCGGCAATGGCAAAAAAGTTGTGATACGTTGCGACATGTCACATGACGTTGCGAGTTTGACATCCCTGCTTTAGAGAGTCAGGGCAATCATTAGATAATCCTCAGGAATAACACCCAAATGAACAAACTCTTGTATGAAAGCTCCTGGCATTGAAGTCTAGAATTACAGTGGCTTTAAGGTGAATTGAATTTATTTTTATCACTGTCTTTTCTAGATTCACCCAAATATTAGGAGAAAATTGGGGAGGTGCCTAGAGGAAGATAAAGTAGAACCATTTCAGAGAATTTATAAGAAAACGTGACAGTTAAATAATGGGGAGTCATCTCAAAGGACCAATTCCTTTCCTTGCCAGCCCAGCTCTGCCTTGGCAGTAGTACTAAGTCCTCCTGATGCCCATTGTCTGAAGTTCTTTTGCAGGTCTAAAATCAATTTAGAGATTATTGTTCTACTATCGGTAAATGGTATAAAGGCTAGGTACATAACAGAATGATTTGGGTGAAAACCAAATGTTACTTACCAGAATAATCCACTAATGAACTATATGGATATATGGCATATTACTTGCTGAGTATATTCAGCAGGTTAATAGGACTATAGTTTTAAGGTAATTTTCTATCACCCTTCTTTCATATTGTTGATTAGTAAATACACGACTAATTCAATCTTGAAATATTTTATATACACCCATATTTTAAGAATAACTTATATAATCTTTCATCAGCACATATAACTGTGCATGAATGTACAGTATGTACAAAACATTTATAGTCAATGGTATTACTGGACATGCTGTTTTAAAAGATCCTATGCAAAATTAGTTTTACAGAGTTCTGCAAAACAGTATGAAATAAGGCAGAGTTAAGATAGAAAGATACAGTCACTAGTTCTGAGTACAATTTAACTGATTCAGTTATGGTTTTGTTTTATAGAAATATGTTGTACTTCACAGTCCAACTGTCAATTTAAGATTTAGCATTAAAATATCCAATTAATTCTCCAGGACTATGTAATGATATACTCATTTGTCAAGTTAGTTTTCTCACTGAGAAATGATGCAATATTTTAAAAAGTAAATAATTGCTCATTGACATTGCAACATTTTCATGATCACAAAGACTCTGTCCTTCTCTTAGAAATGCAGTCACAAGATGATCTGAGCTTTGGTCACTTTTTTCAAAACTATAGACAAAAAGGCCTGATAATAAGTTTTGCTTTTGGGGAAATGAGTAATAACAATTTATATTATGAAGAATTACTTCCCACTGAAAGAATCAGGCATAAATATTTAATTCAACAAACTTAAAACTGTATTTTGGTAGCTAATTGTTTCTTGATTTATTTTACATGTATAACTTGAAAAACAAACCTTTCCCTAATGTTGAAATTAAAGGATAAGAATGAATTAGAATTGTAATGAGTTTTGTAGCTTGACAACTTGTTTAAAGCAAATGTAAAATTTTCTGCATAAACAAAATTGTAAATATATGTTTTGTTCTTATAACTTCCTCTGACTATTTTTATACTGTGGTGGTATAAAAATCTGGATACTAACTGATCTTCATTAAGATCTATCTTACTCCATAATTGGCTTGTGTAATACCATATAGGATGAATAATCAGAGCCAAACAGATTTCTTTAAAGTGTTTAAATGTAGGTTTTCCAAATCTGAAATTAATGAATAATGACAGAACTGAAGATATATATATGTTGGGAAGGGTTCTGGTATGCATTCAATATCAGTAATTCACAACTAATTCTTTGATGCTAATGTTTATATTCTGTTTAAGGAAAATAATGGCTTTTGGAAACTTAAATATAATTAGCAATTACAGAAATGAATTATAGACTTAAGGAAATTCATACACAAAAGTTTTCATTCTTGAAATATCTCATTTTGAATCTGAAATGTATAGGTTTTAAATAGAATGGTCAGAACAGTTGTTCATACCTGAAATAGAATGTTTCACCTATGAAATATTTACAATTCAAATGTTTTTGTATGTTATTAGTTAATAACATAAACAACCAGTGCTTTAATTCATAACGTAATCCATTTGTCTTCTCTTCGAATTGATGATCATGCAGTACCTGGATTATTTACATGTACATGCTCTAAAATTGATCTATCCAGAACTCTTTCAATGAGAACTTCTTCTACAATACTTATGTCCTGAAATAAGAACGAAAAGAAATCAGACATTCAAATAAAATACTGCAATAAACAAAATCTTGCTTAGCTGTGAAAGCAGCCAAATTGTAGGCATCAGTAATAACTTTATTAGCAATAATAAGGTTACACCCAGCTTATATATTTTAGGATGGTAACCCCTTGATATTTCATTCACACGTAGGACAACCTATAAATTACAGTTCCAAATAAAAGGAAACTATAATCGGATGTATTTCCCAATAAGTTCACAAAAAAAACCAGCAGAATGATGTCTTTTTACAACAAATTCTTAGTATGCTTCTTAGAAAGATTTGTAAATAGAAGGTTCATGATTCAGAGAACAAACAGGATACTATCTTCCTCTGAGAACTTTGTATAAGAAGAATGGATTCTAGTAATTTGAAAAATAAACACATATAGGTAACTTGTTCAGTAAATTCTAGATTGCTATTCAGCATCTGAACAAATTGCTCTGCAACCTATCCACCAAATAATGCTTTTGGAATCTATAAATGTCCTTATACACTATGAGAGCTACAGAGAGATAAAGAAAAATTCAGATAAAGATTCAGCAGGGATTAGGGAAAAATGATATAATTTACTCACAATATAATCTTCATAATAGAATGTATGTCTCAGCTGAAGATGCCTTATAAAATTTCTGATGTAGTAACTTGGACCACCACCAGGTAATAAATGACAGATTGGACAGTACTGTAGACAGTTAAAGTGGGGAGAAATAAATAATAATTTTTGTCATTATTATGTACAACATGAATTATTACTGAAAAATAAAAAATGTTAATTATATCTAAATTATTATTGGTTGAATAGACGCTTTCAGACATCCCCTTTCTATCAGCAGTAAATTCAGTTTATTTCCTCCATAGCCTATATTACAAATGCTATACAAGAATGTAAATATCCTGTCTGCAAAAGCAGTTGGTCCTGTTATCTATTTAGATCATGGGTAAAATACAAAAATAGTTCATTGTTCCAAGAACATTTTCAACTTTATGCATCTATAAACTAGTGCCCTCTATTCATGTAGACTTCAATGAGGCATAAGAGATGACCAAATTCACAGGTTAGACAAATCACTGATTTTATAAATATTGTTAATTATTTATCTTGGTTCACACAAAATAACTAAGCCATAAATTATTATTTATAAACTACAATGGGTGTATTAATGCAAAAGCACAACAATAGGCTAGGCAACATTAAACCAATGGACATATTCCTTGGTACACAACAGGCTCCTTCTAATAAACTTTTTTTTAACTTAAAACATAAATGGGAACCTGGCATAGTAAGGTAAACATGTAGCATCATTTTTATTTCCAAAAATGCTTCTCGATCCTACATAGCTGGGGAAAACACCCTCAACAGTTTGTAGTGTTTTCTGACTGGTTATAACCACCATATACTGAGAGAGGTCTGTTTGGTGTAGGGATTTAGCACATCAGGCTAGAACAGTGATGGCGAACCTTTTAGAGACCGAGTGCCCAAACTGCAACCCAAAACCCACTTATGCATCGTCGGTTGCCGGGCGGGTGTGGCCCATTGGGTGGGTGTGGCCCATTGGGTGGGCGTGGCTGCAGTGGTAACGGCAGACTGGGTGGGACTAAAAAGTTCAATCAATTCCAACTTTGCAAGATCTTTTTTTTCCCACGAGAAGTTGAAATTGATTGATTGAACCTTTTTTTTTGTACATGGCGGCGGAGGCCTAAAGTGAAAAGGTTTTATAAAACCCAGTTGAAGGCCTAAGACTGGGGCGATGGCGCGCCTGCCCACAGAGAGGGCTCTGAGTGCCGCATCTGGCACCCGTGCCATAGGTTCGCCACCACTGGGCTAGAAACTGGGAGTTCTAGTCCTGCCTTAGGCACAAAGCCAGCTGGGTGACCCTCAGTTAATTATATACCCTCTCTCAGCCCGAGGAAAGAAGAAGCCATGGCAAATCACTTCTAAAAACTGCCAAAAAATTTGCAGGAACATGTTCAGGTCTTTGCCCAGTCAAAAAGCTGACTCAAAGGCACAAAGCAAATAAACAAAAACAAAATTCCCCACCACAGCAGCGATTTTGCAAATATATGTCTCCTGCCATTTCAGGAAAGTTCCTATGATATAATCTCTAAATTTCAAACATTCCAGAGAATAAATATAGTTTTCTCCTACAGTAAGCAAAATACGAAAACAAAACAACCTAAAATTTACAGGTATTTCTCCACTTATGTTTCAAAATTATTGCATGGGTAAAAAAGTGGACTTTTGACCCATGCCCAAAATTAGAGTTAAGTGGTCACATGATCAAAATTTGGTTGCTTGGCAGCCTGCTCATACTTACAATCACAGGAATAGTTCAATCCCCCCCCACCTGCATGTTTTCCAGTGATTTTCCAAAGTCAGCTTTGGACAACAGCATTCCGAAGGCTCAAGGAGCCACATGTAGGAAACATTCATCAGAAAAGCTGGGTCCAAAAAGGAGATGGCAAAGGCAGTGGGGTACTTCTCCTTCAGCCATGATGGTTGGGTGGAAAGGGGGAAAGGTCAGTATGGGGAACTGGGAGAGAAGGCAGCAGGCTGAATGAATACTTGTGGGGTGGGCTGGGGGGAGTCCCCAGGGTGGAGCAGTGGTTCTGGAGCTGCTTGCCAAGGGCAGAGATGGGGAAGAGGAGGCAATCCCTTACCTTACTGAGGCTCGAGGCTACGAGGGACCAAAACTGGAATGCCTTGCATTAGGATGTGTACTGATTTAACAACCCACAATTCTTGGTTAATGACAATAGGAAGTGCTTGGATTGCCATCGTAAATTGGTGTGGTCACATCATATCTCTTTACAACTGCATTAACTTAGACCACAATCTCGGCCCCAAATGTGATCATAAACCAACCTGTATGGTTGGTGATGTGTGAACCCAGCCATGAATTTGTTTTTATAGAAAGTATGGTTCCAAACTATAAGAGGGACACCTCACACCACTCTATTTTATCTAATTAGACGTTCAGTTACACTCATACTAATTCATGGACAGATACAAGATGTAGAAATGCAGAATAGCCAGCTGTTACAGGTTACAACAACAACCAGCACTTTACTGTGCTATATTTTTTACTTTACTGTATTTATTAAAAATCCAGCACTGGATTTTTGGAAGACAACTCAGAATAGGCCTCTGCCCAATTACAGACATAAAGGAAACCTCTTCCGTGGATGAATATTTTGTAGCCATGGGTAGTTTGAATTACTGAACTATTTTTCTTCTGACATATGCTGGCAGTTGTCTCAAGTGAGTTTAAGACCTCAATTTGAAATTGAGAATTAAAATTATTGCATTTGATCACAGTGAATGATTATTTAATAGTTGTTTGATTACTGTAAATACCTTCCTCTTTCTAAATCTATGTTTATTACAATTACTCTGATCAAAGAAGCACACTAATGCATTGTGTTACAATGAAGAAAATAACATACTAAAGGAAGAGTCATAATAGATTTTCAAACATGCAAGATTGCCAAGATGAAACAAACAGGAGAACCAGCTTATGCTAATGAAAAAGATAAAAGAAATGTTCTAACAATTCCAGAGTATTTCTATAATGCCACGAATGAGAAGTTTTAGTTCTGGAGCCTTTGAAATCCACATTTCACAAAACCTTCCTTAGTCAGCAAGCTGCAGAGATACTTTTTCATCAGATGTATTGTTATTAAGAAATGTCACTTATTAACATATCATGACATACATATGTACATTTATCTAATTTATCATGCAAGTGATTATTAGGATATAGACATAAATCCAAGTGTAAGAAAAGTTACCACTGGTCTTCTTTCAGTTCTGTGAAAGGTGAGAAAATGGTCCAAGAGATCATTTTCATCCAATTCATGCTGACAGAAAGGACAAGGATACCTGAAAACAATGAACAGACATGTATAAATACCCACATTTTCAATGTTAGTTACTAAATACATTCTCCAATTGGTGGCTATTTTGGACAGTGAATCAATCTGCTCCTGAGAAATAAGACTGTAACAGTGTCTCTCCATAGCAAGCTTTAATACTCACACCCAAGCCGCTGAGATATGAAAAGCTAAAGTAGCTAATAAATCTATAGACTTGTCTATCCTTAATTTTACCAAGATGTAATTTACCTTGTTTCAGGGTATGCAACTTCCTGTAGAGGCCCATATTTTTCTATATATTGGCCACAAGTCTTCAAATGAGCTCTCATTTCACTAAGGCACACCTGAAACATGCAAAGACATACCTTGTTAATTAAAATTTTACACTTACAGGTTAATATTTTAAAAATAATTTTGATTTTCATAAAGGTGAGGTTACAAAACAAGGCCAGTTCAAATTTCTCTCAGTTGGGTATCACACATTGCTTACAACTCAATATAAATTACTTTGAAAAAGTGTGTATAGGAATATGGTTTAGAAAGTTGAAAGTAAATTATGGAGTATCAATCATTATTTACCTGTGTTTTACATTCTGTACAGTTTTGGTGTGTATTTTTCATCATTTTAATAACATCAGTTGCTGGAATCCCTTCAGAAGAAAGATGTGCCCTGCAATATGGACATGTCCATGTATGATGTCTTAAACATGTGGTAATACAAATGTGACAAAATCTGTCAAAGAGAAAAAGGAAATGTTTCTCTACAAAACTCTATTTTAAGGAAAGCAATCTAAAATATGGACACACCCTAAGAATGATTTCTGTCTGTTAATAGTTTTCTTTATTTGAGCATTCCAATCTGTTGGACTACCGATAAAGAATAGCTATAGAAAATAGTATGCTTTGATATAAGGCTGTCTCTGCATTACCTAGTTACAAATTAGCATCAAAGTATTTGCCTATTAGTGACTGAAAATAAGTGACTTGTAATACAACTTTAATATGAGAGGTCAGTGTTTCAAAAAGAACATAAAGTAAGAGGCTTCAGTTTTAATTTTGCTCTCATTTGTATGCATAATTTGCAGTAATAAATTTCATGAATGAAAATGTCATATATTTATATTTTCTTCACAATATACTTCCTTTTGAGTTTTCTCAAATTGAATCAGTCAATGAAGTTGCATATATAAATAAAATCCTGGAGTACATAATGGCGAAGGAAGACCACTGTGTTTCTGAAATGATTATCTGTGACTGAATGAAATCAGCTGATTCATATAGCCTTGCATTGATATGCTATATAACTCTATGGATATTTCTGCCAAATGACTTTGTGGATAATGCTGAGAGAATGATAAAATATGTGTCTAAGCTTATTGTAACAAAAGGTAAAATAGCACACTTTTTCAATCCTTTCCAAAGGTCTCTCAGCTTAAAATACAGCAGAATTGCATTAGTATTTCTCTCTCTGTGTGTGTGTGTGTGTGTGTGTGTACAATCTAGCTCCTGAAATCTGGAAAATATCAATTGAACAAAGAGAAGTCTTTGTAGTGCGGAATTTAGGCCTGGATTATTGTCCTGTATAGTAAATTGAACAGACATCACAATAACATATCAGAATAGTGCAAAAAAAAACAAGACAGGCAAGATATAAACTCTAAATTTAAACAAATAATTAGGACATATGTTAATGTTAATTAAATCACAAAGCTGAGTACTCATACTGCTCTATGAACATTAAAAATATATATGTAATAGAAGAATCAGAGAAATCAAATATTACAGTCATAGCTAGGGTGAAGTACAATCAATTAAAAAGCACAGAAGATGCATCAGAGTCTTCTTTTGTGTCGCTAGTGGGCCCTGAATATTTCCATCAAGGTAATCTTCCTTACTCTCTACACTTGATGTATCCAGAATATAAATTAAGTTGGTAGTAAATCTGCTATGGAAAGTCATCTGGTACTGCAGAAAATGACAAAATGTCTTAAATTGACAATTGTCAGGCCTAGGTTTAAGCATCACACTAAGCAATCAACCATGGTTCACCTATCTCTATTTTCATATTTTTTTTACCACTTTCACATTGCTTAGCCACAATGTGGATTATCTGGCTCAGTTTAATATTATGTGTATATCCAAATACTAATGTGGCATGATTTGTTAATCAATAATGCACTGAGCATTACTGTCTCGGTTTGTTGCCTATGTCATCTGAACCTAAAAACAAGATTAGTGTTTGATTAGGTGAGTCCTTATCAGCCACAATTATTAACTACAGTTTTTTACTGGCAGCAAGGCCAGCCTTAATTTAATGTGATGCCTGAACCTGGAAAACAGTGCAGGACCTTTTACAAAGTAGAATGACCCTAATTTCTGCTTCTCCATTTTCTTTTTCTCTACCAGGGCACATGTGATACCTACTTTTTGATAACAAACTGGCCAGGAGGAGAGGAAAAAAACTAATGCCAGCAAGCTAACCAATGCAAATGTTGTTGGAATATTAATCAAACAAGAAATGGACTAGTAAAATGGAGTTGATTAGTTTTCTTGGTTATATTCATTAGGTAAGCACCTTAACCATTGTTAACACTAAGCCATGATAAATCTGTCATGCAAACATATGGGCCGAGTTCAGCTCCATTAATCACATAATTCCTAAGTATGTCAATCTATAACAAAATCATTTTTACAGAAATATGAATTTGCATAGATTTAAAATCTATTCTGTCTCCTAAATACTAGAAATATATTTATATTTTTATACAAATACTGTGTTGGTATTAGAAGTTGCTATTTTCCTTGCTCTTGCCTAGTATTTTTTTCCCTGTATTTGTTTCTTATGCTATTGGTTTGTTTGTATCCTGCCTTTATTTCTTCTTTAATTTCCAATGTTTTGGTGATATATATAATAAAAGAACAAAAATACATTATCAATTAGGAGAATGCATGGATAGAACTAGTAGCTTTGGGGATACACTTGAATAGGTCAAAGGGGTCAGTGTATTCATCAAGGTCTCATTGCCACACCCTGCTTGCTCTGGTACAAGGGCACCCACCCATCAAGAATGTACAACATTGTCCTCAACCAACTCCCAGCCTATTGTGAGAGCAGCCTCTGTCCTTTATGGCTCCTTTGGTGTTAATGCTGTTTCAGAAAGGTGAGATTTTTGGCTGCCTGTTATTGGCACCAAAGAGGTGTTCCCCCACCTCCCTCCTCTCTTGCCCCAGGAGGGAGTGCCTGGACTTTAAGGAACTTTTCACAGGAATGGAAAGACACCTCAAGAAAGCTTTTTGAACCCTGATTGGATTAAATCAGACTCATCAAATTTACTCTAGAAAAGCTTGGAAATTAGAAACTGATATGCAAAACAAAAGGTGCTATCAGGATGACCTGTAACAAGCATACTGTCTTGGAGATGTTAAAGAAATGCAATTTACATTACATTTGCAATTTGTCATCTTTTCCTGGATAGGTTTTTATATTATAAGGACAGTTTTATAGATCTTTAAAAACATATTCATTCTATTTACATCTTGTCTTTCTTTCAAAAGCAAAAGGTGACTTAAATTTTACCATGGTAACAATTTTTAGATATAGGCTGGGCTGAATGGGTGTGATGGGCCCAAAGCTACAAAATTTCCATGGCAGTTCACTTGGCAAGGATTTTTGGAAGTGGTTTGCCATTGCCTCCTTTCTGCGTTGAAGGGAGGTGACTGGCCCAAGGTTACCCAGGTGGCTTCATGCCTAAAGCAGAAATACAACTCACCATTACCAAAGTTCTAGCCTGACCTGAATGAATTTCATGACAACAAGCCCATAGTGTTGTTTGACATTCTGGCTCAATCAAATGGATTTCAAGGTTTGTCCAATGTTGCACTGATAGAAAGCTATTGCAAGAAAAACATATCTAAACAGAAAGAGGCATGGCAGTCAAAACATTATTTGGCCAATCAAGCAGATTAAGATGCATTTGTTTTAATTTGTGTGAGAGGGGTTTTGTTTCACCTAAATTTCTTGGAGAGAAAGGGGTGTGAGGCTGCTAATCATTGAACATTTAACTATTTACCCAAAAGAAAAAATAAGGTGTTCATCAAAACAATCAATTATCTTTTGAGAAGGCAACTAAAATTTGGGGCTGGCTTCCATAACAGTATTTTTATTTTATATTATTTGTATTCTGCCAGGATCACATGACACAGATATAAAAATGATTTCCGTTTCAAAATATAAACTTTTTTTAACCAAAATCACGTATAAAATACCTATAGCAAGGTATTAGTTCTCTTCTGCCAGAACATCTTGTTTAACTTATCAAAATATTGAAGAATCAGAGGAATGAATCAACCTCTGTTTCAGCAATATAGTTTGATTCAAATTTAATTTTCCTTTCTTTTTCGGCATAGGAAAAGGTACATTTTGTTTTCTAATGCCATCCTCGAGATAAATTCTCTTAAAACTAAAATCATCCATGGAGCTTAGTTGGACAAATTTGGAGCTAAATGCAGATGGAGGAAACGGATGAACATTTTTTTCGATGAACATTTTTTTCGTTCTTTGGTTTTAAGAAAAATCTTAAATGTTCTTACTGAATTTACCTGTACATAACATCTGGGACTTATATTTCCAATACGTTTGCACTGCAAAGCACAGCAGACATAAACAGAAACCAAATTTTACACGTGAGTAGAAGACAATCTATACTTCCTCCAACACAAGTTTCCCAAAGCAGGACCAAAGTACGGTTCAGCTCCCGTTTCCCAACCTGAACTAACTCACAGAAGTTGCACTTACACATGGCCACATTTGGTCCTTACAGGCTGGTCGAACACTTCCAAGCAGATGGCGCACTCAAAAGAGGGAATTTGCTGCTTTTCCACGTCTCCCGCTCGATCTGACGGTTGTGGGAACTGAATACTGCCTTGGGGGTCGCCAACATCCGGCGTCCTCGCCGTCTCCCGTCCGTCGCCGCTTAGCACCGATCCCATCGTCTAAACGAGCTCTCTCACGCTTTGGCGACGGTGCTTGCGGCTGCTGTGCAGGAGGCGCACTGCTCAAATGCTTTACAACCAGAATTGTAGCAGTTCTGCAGGATTTCGCCTTGAAGCAAAACAAAAGCGTCAGCTCTCCCACTTGGACCTCTTTGGGGAAGAAATCCCGGAGACGTTCAGCCGCGGCTGCAGAGTCGAAAACCTGCCCAAGCTTTATTGGTGGTGGCGAGACCAGTCCCAGTCGGCGCAGTGAAACCTGACACCTTCAGATAACAAAGTGGCGATCAGAGGCAGCCCTGGCTTCGTTTATTGGCTGGCGCAATGTTTTGTTTTGTTTTTCCTGGGACCCCAGTGATTTGCGTATAGCCTCTGCATAGATGACCAAAGATGATTCTTTACTGGGTCCAAGGGAATTTGTTTCCCGGAGTGGCTGGATTGAACTCTAAAATACTATTTGCTACGTGCGGGTGTCACCCGTTATTGTGGTCAGGAAACAAATTACTTATTTCGTAACCGAGAGAGAGAGATGAGTCTCCCTCTCTCCCAGCCGAATGAATGTACAAAAACTAAACTAAACTAAATCCCGACAAAAAGGACGAAATCTACAAGGGAAAACACTAAGCAGCGGTCCTTTTCTGAAACTAAACACTTAAATTCAGATGTTGCCTTAAGGTAATGATTTTAGTTAGCCTAATCAGTCAATCATACTAACCCAAATATTTCCTTGTTCATATTTTATTGGTAAGCTTGCAAAAATATTTTAAAAATCGGATTATAAGCAATGACTAGATTCACAGAACACAGCAAGACACGGACCATGTGAACTGAAATCATGGTTTATGGCTTATTTTAGTAGAGAAACCATCTCTCCCCGTGAGACTGGGCCAGGGGTAGGCAACCTTGGCTCTTTTATGACTCGTGGACTTCGACTCCCAGAATTCCTGAGCCAGCCTGGCTGGCTCAGGAATTCTGGGAGTCGAAGTCCACGAGTCATAAAAGAGCCAAGGTTGCCTACCCCTGGACTGGGCTATGGATCTCATCAGTCAAGGAATTTTGGGTGGCAGGGTCCAGGAGAAGAGACTTCCTTACAGTGGTCCCTGCCCTTTGGAATATCGTCTTCCCAGAGGTGAAATCTGGCCCACTCTTCTGACCTTAAATTGGCTCCTTTAGACCTGGCTCTACCAGATGGCTTGGGGCCCCAAGCCCCTGGAGGTGGTAGAGCCAACCTCATCTCCCCCGCCATTTAGCTTCCGCCTCCCCCCTCTTGGAACTATGATTTTACTTTGATTGTACTTTCATTTTATTGTTTTGGGAATACTTATCTCTGACAGTTGCAATGCTTTTATATTGTAAACCAAGGAGATTGGCTTACAGCAAATAAATAAATAGTTTTATGTCTTAAAAATAGTTTAAGAACTGTGGCTCGGTGCAACTTGCAAATGAGACTATTATGCTGCATTCTGCTTTCTGGAAGTGAGATCTAATCATTGTGATTTACATGCTGGTCTACAAAGGAACATAAAACATCAATAGTGTTCCTATTCAGAATCCAGGAGGACAACTATACCTTCCTCATTTTCCCATATGCTGGCTTTGCCTTTACCCTCAAAATCAGTTGGCACTTGGCTTAAAGCCCAAGCTAAGTGTTCACCAAATGGTTTTCTTTTCCTGTTTTATTATTATTATGGTTGGTTGCAAGGTAAGCCAGAAATTTCAATACTGGATTTGGCATTTTTATCAACCTATCCAGTCTTTCCTAACAACCTGGGATAGACAGATCTTGTTTAATGGCATTAGATGTCAGCTGTTGCAAGTAAAGCTGCATTTTGCAATTGACTTGATAGTGATCTTGTCAATGCTGATAGTGTTCAAGTGGTGCTTCAATTGTTTTGGGATTGCACACAAAGTGCCTATTAAAATTCGTACTACTTTGATTTCTTTTGTCACAGTCATTCTATTTCTTTTTTGCATGTCCTTGTATTTTGTGATTTTCTCCAGTTCTTCCTCTTCTGTTCTGCTATTATTATTTTATCCTACCTTTATTATTTTTTTATAAATAACTCAGAGTTAATAGGATCATGTACTTCCCTTTTTTCACAATACTTTAGATCTTAATTTGTGTCACAAGTTTCCCTTGTGTATCATGCTGTTTTGAAAAATGTTTAAAAGTTTCTAGCCTACCATCCTACTTTAAATGCTCATGTATTCAGCTCCTCGTGTCACAGGAAATGGTTTGACATTGTCTTCTCTCAGGATTTTTTTTTTACTTCTCAACCTAGTGTACAGTCCTAGTATTTCATGAAAGCTTCTAATCCAAGTCCTACTTTGCTTAGCCTATCCAGGATGGCTAGGTGATCCAACCTAAATTGTTCTACTATTTTTAAAAGAGTTAAACTTCAGGGCAGTTTCATTTCTATGTTCTCAAGAGTCAGGTTTCAGTTAAATCTAGGTAGGAGTATATAGGTTCCATATTCAAGTATGTGTGCACAGTAATATGGCTGGCCTTTCATTATTCCATATTATGAGAAGGACAGATTGAGATCTCTTCACACGTTTCTGTAAGTCATAATTCCTTTGGTTGTGTGAATTGCACCATTGTGATTTGTAAACCACTGCTTATAGTTCATGTTGCAGGAATCCACCCAATCTTGAATTATTAGTAAAATTAATAACATTGATACACATATTGCTACTTATTAAATTATTATTGTTGCCATTTGGAAGCCAACAGTGAGACTTACAAGGTCATAAATTTATCAATCAATAATATTTTAAAAAACACCCAACTCCCTCATTAATGACCAAAGTGCAGGGGAACAAATGGACCCTGAGAAGCTGTGTAGCGATATAATAGGACTAGGCAGCAGAATCAAGATGGGCAATTATATAAATTCAGTAAATGCATGTATTTTGAACTACAGGAACATGTTTGAAAAACAGTACTGTTTTATATGTGCTTGTATCCCATTTTTAAATAATATAATCCTTCTGGAAAATTACAGTTGTATTTCTTCTTTTTTGTATTTTCATGTCTCTATAAACTGGTGTATTGCAGCCAAAGTGCACATTTACACATCTTTTATTTATTTTTTTTCCTTTTTGGGCAGCTCACATTTTGATCTTTCCTCCATTTCTTCACCTTTTTTTCCTTGCCTATTGTTCATTTTGCCTAAGATAAGAGACTGAAATAGGTGGCCATTCATATTCTTGAACTATGGGAATCAGCCATTGTTTCTTTGTCTTGATATACTCTGAAAGCTTTAACACTTATGACTAATTTAATCTACAGTTCTTATCTTTAGATTGAATTTAAATTGCATGCTTCAGGATCCCAAGTCTTAATTATTGGACTTTTTAAAGATTTCTTCTATTTTTATGTTATTCAATATGATAAAAAGTTCTGAAGAACTCAAACTTTTGCCTTTTCTAAAAAATGAACTGTATTGTCTAATTCTGCATTTGGGCGTTTCCTTTGTTTTGGTATGTCTTACTACCTCCAATCAGGTTTTTTTTTTAAAGCATTGTCTTGGCTAGACTCTTCCCCACACTGGGAAATTGAAGAGGCCTTTTCTTTCAGTTTTTACCCTAAAGCAGAGTAAGGCATATTCTTATCTCCCTTATATTCAATTACTTCCCCTTTTCTTTCATTGAAAGAGTTTACATATTGCAATAAGCATCATGTGCTGTGTTTTTTTGGTGCTGGCTTTCATGTAGTGTATGAATTAAGCCACTGAGCATTGTATACAACAGTTTACAGGGGAGTAATCTCTGCCTTGCAGGATTCCTCCCCTTCCCCCTCTTTTTGGTAAATTCCTTTCCAGACATGCTGCAGATTTGGCTATGAGATTTTGGATATTTTACAAATTGAAATAAAATATCTAAGGGAATTATTGTGTTAAGCTTTTACAATACAGGTAAGTCCTTGACTTCAACAGTGTGTTTAGTAACTCTTTGAAGTTACAACAGCACTGAAAAAAGTGACATGAACATTTTTCACACAACCATTGCAGCATCCACATGGTCACATGATCAAAATTCAGACGCTTGGCAACTACTCATATTTATGATGGTTGCAGTGTCATGGGATCACGTGATCACCTTTTGTGACCTTCTAACAAGTAAAGTCAATGGGGAAGCCAGATTTACTTAACAACCATGCTACTAAGTTAACAATTGCAGTGATTCACTTAACAACTATGGCAAGAATGGTTGTAAAATGAGGCAAAATTTGCTTAACTGTCTCACTTAGCAACAGAAATGTTGGGTTCAATTGTGGTCATAAGTCAAGGACTATCTGTATAATCTCTTTTCCCTTCATAGTTCATCTCTTGAGAAAAAAAAAACACAAATCCTTAAGTTTTGTCAAATGTTCCTTGTCAGCAAAAGCCCAGCAGGGGGAACCTTACTACATTCCTCTTTTAGTCCTCATCAAGTAAACCAACTTTATAAATCTTCCTTGAATTTTTAAGGATCTCATTTTTTAATCCAGCCTCAGTTTTCTGTTAAACTATTTTTGTAGTCACAGGACTCTCAAAAATTTTAACAGGTTTTTTTTTTGTATATCCAGTAAATAACATCTTGTCCTTTAGTTTATCCCTTTTAGAGAAATCATTCAAGACCTTAAGAAAATTATTTTGTATAGTCAATAAGTAAACAATTATCCAAATCCAAATGGATTTCTTTGTTCAATTGTTGTACATTTTTAGGGAATAAAACATCAATTCCATTTATATTTCCATATCTTTCACTGCTTATCATGGTTAAATTCCCCTTCAAAGCAATTTCAAAATTATCAGTTCCAGCTTGTTTTACACTGTAATCTCACTGCACTATGCATTTGAGTAACTAGTTTATTTTTTCAAAAAATTAGCAAAAAATGTACAACTTCTATTATAGAATTCTGCTTCGTTTTTTATCTTTTATCTCCCTCTTGTGTGCAGCCTTCCAGGTTTCCTTACCATAAAATATCCAAAACAAATATATTTTCTTGTAATTAAATCAAATCTATAATTCCAAATCAATTGGGACCATTGATAATTTTTAACTTTCTGAAATCCATATTCCGAGCACCTTTTTGTTGTATAATCCAAACATTAATATATTTCAAAGGTTTTTAAAAAATTTGCATCATCTTCCTGTGATATTGTTAATCTTAGAGCAAGGGGTTTTTGTATGTTATGTGTAGCTCTCTACGGAAGAAAGTCAGAAGTTATTTTTCTATTTTTTCCTTTTTTTCTTTTCCTGAACTCCTAACCTTGTTCCTTTCTTAACCTTTTCTATGTTGTTATTTTTTCTGTTTTTGTATATTTTACTCTTTGTTAAAACTTAATAAAGTTTTATTAAAAATACTAGCTGTACCCGGCCACACGTTGCTGTGGCTCAATCTGGTAAAAGCGTGTGTTGCTTTTACATCCAACAGATGGCGCTGTTTTTCAAAAACATGTTTTTACCTGTCACAGGTGTGACATCTATATAATATCGGTATATAAAAACATGCGCGAATTCAAATGCAACGTTGTGTCAAAATTTCAAAGCAATCAGTGAAGAACTTTCGGAGATTTAAGATTTTGAACAAATGAACATTTACATTTTTATTTATATAGATTGCATCATCTTCCTCAAAGGGTTTTTAATCTCTCCAATATAATAAAAATAAATCCAAAAAATGATTATTAAGCTTGGTCGAGCTTATTGTCCACAGAAGTCTACAATGCAGAGGTAAGCTTGGTGGAACCCCATCGCCCAGCCAGTGTCAAATGCAAACAATAAGGTCCATACATGAAGAATTCAATTAGCTGATTTATTGCCCAAGTCTATACACAGAATCTTCTTGGACTAATGGTTTGCACCTGAATGAGACAATATACAACAGCATTCAAAGGAAGTTATTAGCCCTTCAGAATAATCTGTGGAACTGTTAGTACAGAAGCAACAATCACCAGTAGGGACAAGAGCTTTTATACAATATTTTATATTTGCACTTGTATCCATACTTGTTTTAAACAACGTTTCTCAGTAATATTACAGGAAAACTATTGCTTGTACAGATTTAAAGAGGTATTATTAGAAACACTTTTAATTCACTTTACAGCTAGATCAACCAATTAAGTTAAAAATCGCATACACCACCAGAGATACAATGTATCACCTATGCCAGAAATCCCCCAACCTTTTGGGCACCAGGGACCAGTTCCGTGGAGAAAGGTTTTTCCACGGACCGGAGAGTGCATGGTTTTGTGTGCTGCCTGCATCCCACTGATGGGGTTTTGCTTGTTTGTGCGGACCGGGTACCGGTACCGGTCCACGGACCGGGGGGTTGGGGCCTATACCCTTCCCATGGCTAACTGAATTAGTTGTTCAGTGGAGCAAATTTTCAGTTCAAAAAAGTTATTGACTCACCAATTGATCGTTCTAAATAATTTCACACAAAACATTAGGCTAAAACAGTGGTTCTCAACCTTTTTAATGCCGCGACCCCAACCGGTCGTAGGTCGAGGACAAACCCGGTCGTAAGTCGAGGACTAAACCGGTCGTAAGTCGAGGACTACCCAACTGGTCGTAAGTCGAGGACTTGCCCTGCCCGGGAACGCCACGCATGCGTGGTTCCGCCCCCTGCGCCGGCCGAGGCGTAGCTGGCAAGCGGCAGAGACGGAGCAGGCCGACCACCAGCTGGCCCAGCCCAAGGGAGGTAAGGCACCCGCTGGAAAAGGGGAAAAAATGGCAGACAAAAAAAATGGCGGACAGCCTTGCTTGGCGACCCTCGTGAAATAGTCGATCGACCCCAAATGGGGTCCCGACCCACAGGTTGAGAACCACTGGGCTAAAACATAGTTGGCTAATTTGTGTTCAACTTATCAGACAACTGCAAAAAAAAAAGGGGGGGGAGGACAGATTTGGAAGCCTACACCGTATGGATAAATATTGGGTGCGGAGTAGATAACCCACGTTCAACTACGACAGCCGCAATGGCTTTGGGCCAGTCATTGTCTCTGAAATTATTGTGAGAAAAAAAGTCTCAAGCATACATATCGGTCCGGCTACACATCGAAGAAAGCTGTGGTCAGCCTAGGCCAGGGGTAGGCAACCTTGGCTCTTTTATGACTCGTGGACTTCAACTCCCAGAATTCCTTGAGCCAGCATGGCTCAGCATGGCAACCTCTCCATTTCTCCTCAGCATGGCTGGCTCAGGAATTCTGGGAGTTGAAGTCCACGAGTCATAAAAGCGCCAAGGTTGCCTACCCCTGGCCTAGGTAACCACCCTTCTCTCCGCATCCTATCCTAGAACAGACCCTGTCAAACCGACAAACATTCAAGTTGCTGCCCTGTAACAAAACTTCGCTTTTGGAAGTCGAATGGAAGAACTGCTGCCAAACCGCCAGCCTTTCTCACCCTTTCCCTTCTCATTGTTCTCCCAGTTCTTTCAGCCGCAGTAAAAAAACGCGGCTCGTGGGATGCACGTCAGCGGCCGTCCCCGCCCCATTTCTTCCTCGCTAGATTTTTCACCTCTTCCTGTCCACTCCCATCACGTGGTAGCCGCAAAGTCTGCCGGCCTAGTTTACCCAGTTGTCTGACTCTTTTCAGATCCAATATGGCGTCTCTGGGCGGTCGATGAGGGGCCGGTCAGGTGGCAGTTGAGGCCACGGCTCTTAACCCTGGACGGGGTTGGGGGGGGGAGGAGGACCGTGTACATTGGCGCGAATTCGGCTCCGGCACGGAGGGCAACGGCGAGAGAAGAGCGGGCCAAGGCGGGTAGGCCGTCCGGCAAGTCGTCCGCTGGAGCTTGGTGTGTTGAGCCATTCTGTCGATCGGAGAGATGGCCCAGCGGGTGCAGTCGGTTCAGGAATTCCTCCAGGACTCGTTTGTGCCTTTAGTAGCGGCCTTGTGTAGCGAGGAGGCAGAGAGAATCACCCGCAAGAACAACCTGGGCTTCTGTGAGCTGGTGAAGCCCTTTTGCCGTCTCACTTCGGAAGGTCGGTATCGCTCCGGCGGGAGAGGAACTGGGTTGTTTACACGGGCAGGGAGTTGTTAGCACCTTCGCCGACTGGGCGTGCGGGAGGCTCCCTGGCCTTTTAAGGCCTCTCCTTTGAGCCAGGACGTGAGCGGGGAGCCTTTCTGCTGTTTACCTTTCTCTAAAGCAGTGTTTCTCAACCTTGACAATTTTAAGGCATGTGGACTTCAACTCCCAGAATTCCACAGCCAGCAATGCTGGCTGTGGAATTCTGGGAGTTGAAGTCCACATGCCTTAAAATTGTCAAGGTTGAGAAACACTGCTCTAAAGTTTGACAGCCCCGTAAGTCAACTGCTGCCCATCTTAGCTTTCTGCCAGTTTCTACCTTCTGGTAAAGCCGAATGGTTGTGTAAATGACGAACTCGGAGATATACACTGGATTCTGCTAATATATGGATAATATCTAGACTGGATTCTGCTAATATACGGACAATATCTTGGAATGAGACTTAAAATGCCTTACCAAGATATTTTCTTAATCATAAATATGTGCCAAATATTTAAATGATAACGCTAGACTAATCCCTGTATTTTAATTTTTGTTTTTTGGACCAGGAAGATCTTATGATGGTAATTTATTCTCTTCGCCTCATGTGTAAGCATCTACAGCAAACTTTAGATGGGGCTGTCCTTGAAGACAACTCCAAAAGTGTTATCGGTAGAACTACAGTAGTTCAAATCCTAACAAGGATCTGGTATTATTACTGTACACCTTCTTGGTTGTTGCGTTGGCTACTAGTAGTAGGTTTGTGGGTATAATTCAAGTTGATGATTTTTACCTAAATGTCCCTATGTGTGCCTTGGCGTATGTGTGGTTGCCAGAGTGTCTTTTCTGCTCAGATTCAGCCTGAACACATCTTGAGTGATGGTCAAGTGTCCCTACCCCATGTGAGAGGAAAGAAGTTAGTTCCTTAAATATACCTTCTCAATAGTAGCCCCATGTAATGAAACCCATTGCTCCCCTTATTTTTATGCAGGAAATACTGAAACAAAAGCAAATACAATATGTGCCTAGAAATACAAGATATTTAGGGGGGAGGCGGATCCACATCCAAGGCAAGTTTCTATTTGGTGGCAATTTAGAAAATGGACTTAACATTAATATAAATGGGTGGACAACATAGTCAAAAAGATAATACACATTTTCTGAGTTGCAAGTACCCCTGATTTGTATTATACTATGTTGGGCTTATTTGTTCAGGTACTGGTATATCTTGCATAAAACAACTAACAACCCTTCTGTATTAACTAGTGTGCACTTCATATATCCAAAGTTGTGACATATAAGTCTCAAAATAGTACAGGTAATTCTCGATTTACAACCATTCATTTAGTGACTGTACAAAGTTACAATGGCACTGAAAAAGTGACTTATGATCTTTTTTCATACTTACGACTGTTGCAGCATCCCAATGGTCCTATGATCAAAATTCAGATGCTTAGCAACTGGCATGTACTTATGATGGTTTTTGATGGTTCCTAGAATTATGTAATCACCTTTTCTGACCTTCTGACATACTAAGTTAATGGGGAAGCCAGATGCACTTAACAACCATGTTACTAACAACAACTGCAATGATTCATTTAACAATTGTGGCAAAAATGGTCATAAAATGGGACAAAACTCAGTTAACAACTGTCTTGCTTAGCAATAGAAATTTTGGGCTAAATTATAGTCATAAGTTGAAGACTACCTATAAAATAATATGTGCCTTGTTCACAGAAGTCAGAATATTATACGAGCAAACTTGATTTTTTTTTCAGGAAAAGTTGTTACGTTTTCTGATTTTCATTGTGAAGAACACTTCATTATTTTTCATAGTATTCCTGTTGTGTTATTTAATGCTGGCTTTCCCTATAGTTTGATTATAATGAATAGAATAGACTAGACTAGAATAATAACTTTATTGTTACTTTGAATGTACACTAATCAGCATACATTAAAATGAAATTTTGTGGCATACAGCTCTCAAAGGGTCACCACTTGCAATATACACTACATAAATATGACATAAATACAGAATTATGCATACCCATATATATTATATGACACAGAGAAACAACACAGTCTAGTTCGGATTATGTATACGTGTACATAGCGAGAAAAATGAATTTTGCGAGTTTACCAGACGGATAGCATAGGGAACAAAGCTATTACAGAATCGGGTAGTCCTGCTAGAAATACCTCGAAACCTTCTCCCAGAGGGGAGCAACAGAAACAGTCCATGAAGTGGGTGTGTGAGGTCTCTAACAATGCTTTGAGCTCTAAGCACATAGCACTTATAAGCAGCATCCCGAATACCAGGAAGAGAGCTTCCTATGATCTTGATTGTCCTTACCAACCTCTGTATGGACTTTCTATCTGAGGCACTGCTGCCACCAAATCAGACAATGATGCAGTTTTTAAAAATGCTCTCAATTGTGCCTTTGTTAAAAGTGGCCAGGACAGAAGGAGAGAGATGTGCTCTCCTCATCCGATGCAGGAAATGCAGACACTGGTTTGCACGCTTCACTAAGGATGAGATGTGGAGAGACCAATTCAGATTGTTAGTTATCTGCACCCTCAGATACTTAATGCCATTGACCACTTCTACGGCTGCCTTCTTGATACTGAGTGGAGTATGACTATGCCGGCTCTTTCTAAAATCTACAATGATGTCCTTTGTTTTATCACCATTTAGAACCAGGTTACTTTTATTGCACCAGTCCACCAGAACTTTCACCTCTTCCCTGTAAGCATCTTCATTGTCATCCCGGATAAGACCCACTACTGCCGTGTTGTCTGCATGCTTCACAATATGATTCGTGGCAGATTTGGTACAGCAGTCGTGGGTCATCAAGATGAACAGTAGTAGACAGGACACAGCCCTGTGGGGAACCTGTACTCAAGAAGATGGAGTTGGAAACTTTCTTTCCAACTCGCACAAACTGGGGCCTATCTATAAGGAAATCAAGTATCCAATTACATAAAGGAGTATTAAAACCTAATAGGCCCAGTTTGTTCACCAGATGCTGAGGAATGATTGTGTTGAATGCCAAACTAAAATCAACAAATAGCATTCGCACATAATTATTCTTCTCCTCCCGGTGCGCCAAGCTAAGATGAAGCACACAGAAAAGTGCATTAATGAAATAATTTATATTTGAGTCAAATAAATTCCTGCTACTGAAAACATGTCATTATTTTACTTTGAACATTTTTATTTATTTTTATTTGACCCTGAATGTACTCTTTAAAAGGTTAAGTTTAAAATTTCCACATACGCATTTGTAATCTATAATAAAAACAAAAAGTTAAATCTCAGAAAGTCCTCTTGTTGTAATCTATTCATATTTTGAACATTTGGAGTTATATCCAATTAAAATTAAGTATTAAATACATAGTATCAGAACAGGTTAGTTTTTAAACGTATTTATTTTCTTATTTCAGTGCATATGAGAGACCCTAACAATCAACTTCACATAATCAAAAATTTGAAAATAGCTGTCAACAACATTCTTACTCAGCCACCTCAGCCTGGAACTATTCGAAAACTTCTGAATGATGTGGTGACTGTTAGCCAGCCTGCTGAAGGATTATTAGCTAACGTGATTACTGCAGGAGATTATGATCTCAACATTAGTGGTAAGTAACAAAAAGATCCTGTATATATTAGATGTCATAAATCATTTAAAATGAATATTTTAGACATGTGCGTGCACACACACACACACACACTATATATATATATATACACATGCACATGTTCTTTGTGGGAAAAGTACAGTTCCTTCTACAAAAGTCTGACTATTGTAAATATAGTTTGTATGCTTCATATTTACAGAGTTTGAAAATGTTTCAGTTTTGTTTCTTAATAAAACACCTTATTTTTTCAGTTATCAAAAACAGAGGTCCCCAACCTTTTGGGCATCAGGGACTGGTTCCATGGAGAAAGGTTTTTTCACAGACCAGAGAATACATGGTTTTGTGTGCTGCCTGCATCCCATGGATGAGGTTTGCTTGTTTGTGCGGCCCGGTTTCTGGCATGCTGCAGCCCGGCACTGGTCCACGGACTGGGGGTTGGGGACCCCTGATCAAAAACAAGGAAAGATTTGATCACATATATTTGGAATTATGTTTTCCTAATATATCATTTAGTATTAAAATAGTTTAGGCTTGTTATTATTGCTATCAACTGTAATCCCTGTTACCTCTTTTATCCACTCAGTATTTTTGTGCAGAATCATAGAATTGGAAGCAATCTCTGAGGTGTAATTTAGACCGAATCCTACTTTGTACAGAAAAGTTCTCAGAGATAGCACTGATCATTGGCAATATTTTCCTGCTGTTTCTCTTCCTTTATTCATCTTCCTTTAGTAAGAAGATGTGAAGGAATAGGACTCAGCCCCAAGTATTGCCTGAATAGAATATATGTTAGTAATATGGTAGAAGAGGTCTATTAGCCCCGAATTCTGACTGTACTATGGAATAATTTTATTTCTCTGTTTTTAAGTCTCCTTCAAATTCATATTGGCTGATCTTGAGAAATCAAGCTGGATCAGATCTGATTAGTATTGGAAGTTAACCAAAAATTCCAGTGTCATAGCTGTACGAAGAAAGCTATGACAAATTAGTTTCAAAAAACTGTATCCAGAAAAGTTACATTGATATGTTTGAGAAGTCCTTAGGAATTGAGCTCAGTATGCAAAAACTTTTTTTAAAATCTTGATAGTTTTGCTACTAAGATTCATTAGCATATAGTTCAGATCACTGAGAGAGGCAAGGAAGTGACATTGGAAAAAAACTTTTAACAGGAATGGAGAAGAGGTGAACTTCAAAAAAACATATTTCTGTCTTAAAATATCGTAAAAGGGCTTTTACTATTTTTCAGTTGAGGTTTTCTTTTTATCTTAAAACTTCTTTACCTTTTTTTTAGCATTCATTCTAAAAAAAACCATTTAATGAATGTTTTCAGTACACAAATTCCAATAGTTTATTGTCATAGTGAAAGGTATATAAAATTATATTACATTTCAGCGTGGATTGGTCACAATTAATGCGGATTTGAATAATGTAATATTTAACTTAGTGCAGATTATAAAGTGATACCAGATCCATTTAATGTGATTCAGTTAATGCAAGGTTAGTGTATATGCAGCTAAGGGTAGTATTTAGGCACTTGCATTTCAGTTTTTATATGCTTTTAATCTTTGTGCATACAAAATGGAGGGAAAAAAAGAGGAAAACAGTACAACTTTTGAAAAGAAGAACTTACATTAGAACAAAAATTTGATATTGAATGACATGAATATGGATATAGCAACACTAAAATATGATGTAATCAGCTTGGAATACCCCGATTTCTGGTATAATTTTTTGCTTTTATTTAGGTTTCTATAACTGCTTTTTATTAGACTTAAATTCAAAGTTTTTTCTTTTATATTTTAGAGTAATACACACACACACACACACAATTGTATTAAAAAAAAATCATTTGCCTTTTTCTTTCAAGCTAGAGCCAATTTTATTTTCCATAGAAATATGACTGAATAGTGTGAACTTAACCATTTTGTTGGATTCATTAAGAACTACCTGTACATATCTGTTAGCCTGCATAGATTTTTTTTATTCTGCATCCACACTATTGTGAAAATTAACTTATATAATTTAGTAGTGTTTGTCAAGTCGTTTTGCACAAAATCATTACATTTTTGGGTTCCAATTCAGTACTGATATTTGAGCTTTTGTTTGTTGGATGATGTAATTCCTAAACATCTTAATTCAGCAAAAATAGTCATGCATAACTAAAGCTATAGTTTTGCAATACTGTTGAACTCAGTATATAAATTGAATTATACTCCAGGCTTTATGTATTTGAACAATGCTTTATGTTTTCGCTCCTCTTAACTGGTTGTACTTGAAATAGGTGAAGAATGCACTATAACAAAACTACTATTATATTATTTACATGTATGGTAGCATCTTGATTATATGTACCTTCAGAGTACAAGAGAACAGTTCTCTTCCTCAAAGTGTTTTCAGTCTAGCATTCAATGTAATAAAGCAAATGTTTATTTTAATTGCTTATGCTTAGAAATCTATTTTTCACAGATTGGCTTCATTGTAAAACTAATGAAGGATTTAAAATGATTCACAGAGATATAAATAGTATATTGAGGAATTTGAAGAAACTGACATGAGGTATCATATAGGGTGGAAGGAATAAAGATTATGTACAGGCTATATTAAAATGGCGTGGTTGAGCAACATTATTGTGAACTTTGAAGGGAATGTGCAGGAAGTCAGTATAGGGATTTAAAGATAAGAATGTCATCATGTGATCAGAGCATTAAGCAAGATGGATTATTTTGACTGCATATTCCTGGATAAACATCAGGAGACTAAGATGAGAAAAAAGATTGCAGTAGGCTTGTGTTCCTGTCAAAGGGAGAGGAGTATTTTTGCACTTTATAAAGGCAGAAGTGTCCCATTCCGGAAAGGAAAGGAAGTTAAAGATAAACTCACGTAAGTGCAAATTTAAAAGTGAGATGGTAATATTGTTAATAAATAAGTAAAGCATGTTTGGAAAGCAACAATGAGATATACAGTATTTATTGAGTGAGTAAACACACTCAAGCAGAAATACTGGAGAAGTTTAAGATGAAAACTTGAAGTGAAGGAAGAACATGAATCAGATGCTATCTCCGTAAAGATGATACCTTATAACAGGGGTCTCCAACCTATGGGCTGCAGCCCACCACCGGGCTGCGGCCTCTTGGCCAGCGGACCACGGAAATGGCTGGCCAGTATGCGCACGCATGCGTGCACACTCCCCGCCACTCACACTAGTGCCTGTGGCCCTGTTTGCGCATATGCGCAGGTGCAAACGGGGCTGCTAGCACCAGGTAGTTGCATGCTGCCTATCTGTGCATGTGCAAATGTGCACAGCCCATTTGCTCATGTGCGAGTGGGGCTGCTAGTGCCAGGTGGGTGTGCGTGGCCCCTTTGCACATGCGCGAACGGGGCTGCTAGTGGCGTGCCAGCATTTACATGTGCACGTGTGCATTTACATGTGCACCAGGCAGCACCTCAGACTTGAAGACAAAAAGATGTTTGGTATGCAATATAGATTGGGGAAAGACTCATTTAGTTTGGACCATTTAGTTTAAATGCTGGAAACAAATACTCTGAAATACCCTTACAATACTTCAATGTCCTAGTACTGAAAGGCATGGATTTGAGGCCATCCAGGAGCAGTGTGTTGAAAGGAAGGGATCGAAGGCCAGAATTGAATCCTTCAGAGTTCCTAGTAGACAAAAATTTTTAAAAATTGAAAAAGAGAAAAAAGGAAGAGCTTATATGAATACTCATTACACATACACGTGTACATTTATATATTGATTTGTTTACATTTAAATAAGTTTGGTTGAGAAGAAGAAGAAAGCAGATATTAAGAATGTATGTGATATAAGTCCACCATATTTTTATATAGTCTTCTGACAGAGATTCCTGGTTAAGAATGCTTGTTCAAATGTAGATAGGTGCCTTAGAATTTAGATAATTGTGTAATTGATAGCAAATTGGTATCTTTCAATCCTTTTAATATTAACATTCTTTGCAATTATAACAATGTAACATCAATTTCTTGTGCCTGTTTTTAGTTTCCATATTATTAGTGTGTAGTTAGAATGAATATAAATACCATGAAAACCAAAGAATCTTCCTGAGTAAAACTGATCTCTTATGATTCACTGTGCATAATGTTGCTTTTCTTTGTTTGAAAATAGCTACCAACTAGTAAAAAAAAATGAGGAGAGGATTTTGATTTGATTTTATAAGTTTTAAAACCCTTCAGAGCTAATTATTAAACGGAATGCAGCTAAGATAAAGACATAGTTTTTCATTCTGTTTGTGATAATGAATCTTGGCTTGTAAAGAGATCAATAACCAGGATTTGTCCTACAAATAAATCCTAAGTCAGGACTAGGTATTATTTATTTTATTTAGCATATGGCATATCATACATGGACTAGCAATATATATTTACATTTCACCTAGATTAGTAAAACACAATAAAATATACATGATAAAAAAGACCTTTGTTCAAATACCAAAGTCTAGGCCATCTAACTTGGAAGCAGAGCATTGTTTATTAAAAAAAAAAATCAGATACCGGACTGGTATATCCCTTCAGCTTGCAGCCGGCCCCAATAGATAGATAACCTTTATTGTTATTTTTTTTACTGTGGGCACACTGGCACACATTAAAAATGAAATCCTGTTGCCTGCTCTCAAAAGCGTACACATACATGTACACATACAATGTGATCTACAGTTTGACCTGGGACCCCCAGTCACACTGAGGGAAGATAGTATGCCCCATCTATACAGAGAGTCCTGGCAGATGCCATATGAAGTACAAATCCTGTTCAGGATTGTCCGTTGCCGATGTGGTAGTTCAAAACCTGGCATCTTTTTTGTGGGGTCATTTATATATCTACCCACGTCTGGGTGTTCAGAGACCCATTTGGCTTTCCATTGGGAACCGATGTTAAAAGTTGTTGGGCAGATGTTGTGCAAGTTGCCAGTGGGAGCTTCCTGGATTTGAGTCTTCCGGCTGATAACTTGGTTTCAGGGCTAGGTAACTTGGTGCCAGAATCTGATGTTTCTGGATTAATTCCTACAATCTCTTGTGATTAGCCATGCTGTTTGGGTTTGATGGGTCAGAAGCATGTAGAAGCACCTTTGCATTAAACAAATAATTTCTGATTACGTAACCCATTCCCATTAATGGAAGGAGGAAAATTAATTGCAGATTCCAGTGGATAGCTTGGTTTAGACTAGAGTAAATCAACAGTGTACAAAATTCTGATTTTTTGTATACAAATGTAGCAGTTTTTCCTGGACCGTTGATTTGCACATTTCAATTAATTTTTTGAATAATATCCCTTTTGACATTAATACGCTTAAATTGGAATAAATCAGTAGTATATTATTAACATAAACTAAAATGTTAAATTTATTTTAGCCAAACCCAGCTGTCAGCAATATCTTTGGTGAAGGAGAATATAAATAAGATTTACTATAATGTGCCTCTCTAGTTACCTCTCTACCCACCCAGATTTCTAGAGAGTACAAATTTATCTTATGTATGGGATATGAATGTGTGTCATTTCTGAATTAACTTTCTTTGCTATGTTTAAATGTTATTGATTGATATATATAAGGAGTGTTAAAGTGGTTGTTATCAAAGTCAGTAAAAACTAAGCTAGGAAGGGCTACTTCCACAGAAAGCAGAATTCTTACCCTTGTTTTGTAATGGGAAGAAATGAAGTTAATTTTTTCCTGTTGGGTATATCTTCTGGTGATTAAAATAGCACCTCATAGTAAGTCCAACTAATTTAAACTTCCTTAATTTTTGGAAAGATATCAATTGCCCATAAAAACTTCATTATGCTTTAACTTATGTACATTTGCCTTATCATAAATTTGAAAATTAGCTACATTTCATATATTTTTGTTCCAACAGGATACCAGCTTCAATATGCTGCAAATAGATATGTTAATGTATTTTTCAAGTTTTGTTCAGAAAGTGTGAACTATTCCAAAAAGATCAGTTTGAACTAAATACATATTGGCTATGCGTGTATTAAAATTTAGGAAATATAACATGGTGAGCAAGATATTTCAAGCTCTATTTTCTTAGTGTAATAATTCCATGTTTTCTCTGTCAGATCACTCAGTTAAAGCTAGTGTTCCCTGGTACAGTAGTTGGAAAGACACACTGATGGGACTGAACACATCCACATTTTATTCAGGTATTTTGTGTGATAGGTGTGGGTTTCTATACCATTTCTGTTCCTCTGTTATATAATACTTCCATATTTCCTTATAACCCAATTGTAGTGTAGTGCTTTCTTAAAATTGTCTTTTTTTCCTGGAAGAATATTGGTGGTGGTTGTGTTTCTCTAGTTGATTCATATACTATTGCTGACTTTGATTGTGAAATTTTAAGTGCAGAAACAATCATATTTTCAATTTCTGATTAATTTGATTGTGCATGCTGACTTTTATAATATCTACTGCATCGAAAATACTTTCCTTTTTCTTTTCTTAAATAATGTTTATGCATACATGGTATCAGAAGTGCTCTTGGAATTATATGTGAATTTCTGTTCATTTTCTTGTTAAAATAACTTGGTCCTTTATTATCGCATAATAAATTTATTCTTACATATGTGCTTTGCTAAATTTGGTTGTATTTCTCAAGAAAGTTTTCTTTAAAAAAAACCAACTGATTATTCCTAAAGCATTTTTGCAGAAAAGAGCAATGATACAGTATTTCTCTTAAAAATAACAGTGAAATTTGTATGAATAAAATTGTGTGTTACCATTAGAATCTATGGAATAATACTTGAGGTGCATTTCTGAAAATTATTTTCTCTTCTAACATGCTACTTGCCTTCTAAAAGAAAGTTGCATTAGAGAAAAAGGTGGGATTTCAGCTGCCTATGTTCTAAATAGTCTGTTGATGTCCTTTATTCTTTTATATAAGTAGCATGAATAAATCTTACTAAACGTTTTGCTGGGATTCTGATTTTGTAAATCATTTGTCTTTCTCTCCTGTACCTAGATTTCTTTTTTATGAACTAGATAAGATGTATCCTGACTGTGTGTCAGTTTATTGCATTTATCTCTTAATTGATGGGATGTAATATGTTTGTTTGAAAGATAATTTCTAGATTAAAGATTCTGACTTTCCAAGATTCTGTGAGCACATGTTGTGACATACTGGCTGAAATTGATCAGTATTGTCCTTGCTATTTTCCTATGCCACAGGTATAATGTACATCTTGTCTAGATTAAAAAGTATTTATGTGAAGCACTGATTGACCTAAATAATGATGGGCAGTAAATCTCAGTGTCTCTATTCTGATCTGGTGATAACTGAAGTGTAAGGAAAATTATAACTTGGAATATAAGAGGAGTTAATGGTACAAATGAATTTATGAATAAAAAGAAAATAGGGTATACGGTATGTCTGAAACTAAATCAAACTGGAGGGATATAATAGATTTGAAGATAGCCTCATCTTACAAAGTAGAGTTGTTGAATACATGACTAATTATGAATAAAAGGTCTTAAAATGTAAAGTCTGGAAAATATGAATTTAAGGAGTTGTTAGTGTATACAAAAGGAGAAAGAACCCATATTTTGGTGATAGTTGCATGTTATGAATAATGAAAATGGAAAACAAAATAGGGAGCTTGAGAAAAAATCTTGTAATCTTCTGAAATAATGCTATCCAATGGGGGAAAGATATTCAACAATGTGATAGGAATGAACAAATGGGAACAAGGAAATGGAATTTAAAAAAATGGCTGGACCATTTTAAGAGCTAAGAACAAGTAATGGTGACTGGTGAGTATCTGCTTAGGAAACTGACAGTATGTTTAGAATTAATAAGATGCGGAAAAAGAGGGAGGAGAGTCATTTGTAGAACAAAAAATAAGTATGAAGTGAAGGAATTAATATGGAAGCAAAGATTTTTTGCAAGGATAGATAAATACATCATATGGTGGTGTTGTTTTCTGTATAACATTGCTCATCCTAAAAGGAAGTAGCATTGTGATTTATGTGGGTATGTCGATGGATATAGTACTGCTATATAGTTGTGATTTGCAGGGGTCTATTGCAAAGGCTTGTTGAACAGTGGAAGCATAAATTTATGGATACTTCTGTACAAATTGTTACTACTAATTTTCATATATTTATGGTTCTTCCATAAAAGATAGGTTTAACACACTGACTATATTTGACTATAAGTTGTCCTCAAACAGTGGTCACAACTGATTTTGCGCTGGAGTGCTGAATGTGTTAAGGGCCCAATTTCCTGGCTATATTACTAGCTGGTCAAATATTTTGCTCCTGTTTTTATTTAATCTGGATATTTTTTAGAGTTTTTGCTGTTTTAAAAGACTAGTATTTAGTATTTTTAATTGTAATATATGTTTTGAGTTGTAAGCCACTCAGAGTCAATTGACTGAGATGGGCGGCTGTAGAAATTGAATGAATGAATGAATGAATATTTTTCTTTAAGAAGGGCACTGAAATATTGTCCTTTCCTCTCAGTGGAGAGAAGGCACTGAGTCTTTTGTTGCAAAACACTGTTGCCATCTGAAAATAGTTATTATTACTCAATAGCTAAGCTGCTGAAAGCAGAAGTATCTTTGTCCCTTCTTGCCACCTTTTAAATATATCAGAAAACATTTACACTTCAGTTGCAGGAAGAAGCAGTCACATGACTTCATCTATTTATATGCATTTGTGTTTTTCCCAGTTTAGGCTTTGGTGAAATATTTGCAATATTGATTTTGAAAATACTTGAGATAAAGGGGTTTATCTTTAATCCTTTACCATATCACATACATGGATACATTTAAAATACTTTATGCACATATATTCACTTTTTAAAAGTTTAAAAAAATAAATACTGCATTTGCACATCACAAAATAGTCAAATCAGTATAATAATAAAACAGCTAATGACTTGATAATGATTTTTTTCCTAAAGATTAATTTTATTCTGAAATAGAATAAACTTCTACCAATGTGTAATGCATGCATGCATAATGCTCTTCTGGATTCTTAATGAGAACATTGCACAGTCTGTAAAAAAATAGAGTTCTCCTATTCTTACATCTTGTGGCACTCTTCAGCATTGTGATTTTGTATGCATTTTTTTTTCAAATTGATACATGCCTCTATTATATTCTTTACTGTCAGAACATTCCTAAAATGCCATGACACATTTTACCTTAATTATTTTTCTATTAAAGGTAGCATCACTTTTATTTTTAAGGCATACTTAAACTAATGTAAACAAATTATTAATTCTAATTCTGAAATATTGAATTTCAGGAAAATATCTGTAGAACTGTTTCAGTTTTGCCTCCTATACAAGCAAGAAATATTTGAGAATGGCAAATATTAATAAATGGAATCCAAAAGTGCATATGTATTTTGAAAAATATCTAAAAGTTGGAGTGATTCATTGAATAATGACTAATAATTACATTTAAATACTAGCAAATCTATAGTAGATACTGAAATCATATGCTAGTCCTTCCAATCCTCTCTCACCGAAAATATAAAAAATTTCTTGGTCCATTTTTTAACTTAGCACTAGCTATTTTTTTTCAAATTGTATTTCTGTCTCATAGTACAAATTAGCTGGAATAAATATTACATAGTAGCAGAGTCCAATAACAGAAGTATTACATCTGCCTGATGCTTCATTTATCTCTTCTTTGAAATACTAATACTATAGCAACTGTATAAACCCAAATCATTTGGCTGAGTGAAGATTCTTATACTGTATATCTGAGGCATTTGTCTAGAAGTGGTACAAATCACACTGAGCTTTGCTAGGAGAATGAAGTATTAAACCCATTTCACTGTGCAGTAGTACCTAGTTGGAAAATTAGTTTAGTCATTGTTTTATGCTATTGAGGTTCAAAAATCCAATAATCATTGGCAGCAGAGAGGATTCTGAACTCACTTCTGCTATCTTCTGGTTTTTGTTTTTGTTTTGTACTGCTATCATTTGGATTTGCTATAGGTTATTTAGAAACTTGCAGCCAAATATTTGCTGTGATTAATCTGCAATTTTCATCTTTATTCTCTACTTTCTTTGTGTAAAAGATGTAGTTCTTTTTCATTTATGAAGAGTGTTTTGTTTAATAAATGCATCAATTTGAAGGATTTGCTATGATGATGAAATCTTAATTATTATGTGTAGCATAATAGTGCTGCCTTTGAAAATGGGTTTTCTGCAAGAAAGAAATAATGTATTATCGTATCATATTGGCCCCAACCTTCCTATCTTTTCGTAAGGGCCTAAAGACATGGCTGTGTCAGTTGCCTTGGGGCTCCAGTGAGGGATCAGCAAAATGGAGGTGGTTGATTGAGTAATAACTGATCCTACCTCCCCCCCACTCTGCCCCCGCCCTCCCCATGTGTTTTTCGTTATTAGGTTTGATTTTAACATTTTTTTTGTTTTAACTAAGATGTAACTGTAAGCCCCCCCCAGAGTTACCCTATGGGCGGCCAATAATATTTATTTATTTATTTATTTATAAATTTATACTTTATGGACCGGTGATTTTAATAAAGGTAATGCTTGTTTAGCAACCACAGCTGGGACCAGCAACTTGGTCATTAAGCAGAGCAGTCACCAAGTGAAAGCATGTCTTATGAACTTACTTCAGCTTTCCTTTGCTTTACAGACTTGCAACGGTTATAAATGTGAGGATTCTTGTAAAGTTACTTTTTCATCACTGTGATAACTGTGAATGGTTGCTAAATGAAGATTACTGTACCTGTATTGTTAAAAATACTATTGTAATTACAGTTTTAGCTTCTTAAAAGATACTATATTTTTTAAATATCACTTTGGATAGCAAGATGGGCTGCATATATATTTCATAATAAAATACTTATTACTGCTTCCTATATTTCTGATATGAGTAAAAATAACCTAATGATCAGTTTATATTAAGAATGTTTATGGTTCATAATGCAAAAAATATATATTACGAGTTGTAAAAATTTTACAAAATGTAAGTGGCTATCCTTTGTATATGTCAGGCCCAAGCCCAGAGTCATCACAGTAAAGTCTAATTGACTTGAATCCTTTATTTGCTTACACCGAATTTGCCAAACTAAAGTGATTATCTTCTAATCCACTAAATACTGTATTTCTTGAGAGAGTCAAGTATGTGGCTATCCCAAATCTCTTTCCCCTTCCCCCATCCAATTTGGAAAATTGGATCTCTCTGGAAAAGCTCATGTGTTGCCAAACTCCCCCACTGCTTCTCTAGGTGCACATGCCATCATATAATAATACAGGTAGTTCTCGTTTAATGACCACAATCGAGACCGGCAACTCCATTACTAAGCAATGTAGTCATTAAGCAAGACATCACATGACTACCATAGATTTATGACCTCATTTCTGCTATAGTCATAAGTAAGCAAGACATCATGTGACCATGACTTGTGATTTTTATCACCAGCTTCTCCATTGACACTGCTTGTTGGAAGCTGGCTGTGAAGGACACAAATGTGATCATGTGATTGCAGGATGGTGCGATGGTTGTAAGTGTGAGGATGATCATAAAGTTACTTTTTCAGTGATGTAACTTTGAATGGTCACTAAATAGGGCGGTTGTTAAGTGAGGATTACCTGTAAGTAAATTCTTGTTGAACTTAATGCCTTGTATTTTTTAATAGGTATGCATAAACTGTCACCATACTACTCATAGATTCATAGGTTATCTTTAACTTTTTATTTGATTTGCTTCCATGGAGATAAATGAAAATGTACATAATTATATATAAAAACATAGATGCAATTTTAAAAGCTTTCTGTTGTTCTAATACATGGTTATGGGACATATTGAAAACTCCTAAAGTAAAATTCTTCTAATTAAGTAATTGATAATGCTGATAACTTCGTATATTTTCTCAAGCCTTCTTTTGTAATAACTTAAGTAGCAGGAATGGTTTTATAGCAAAAAGGTTTATAACCATCTTTTAAATTTCTCATTTATTTCAGCTACCACCCCATGGTTTGAAGCTTATCGAGAGAGCTTTCTTCAATCTATGCCAGCATCAGACCATGAGTTCCTAAACCATTATGTAGCCTGTATCCTTAGAAATGGATGGACATGATATATTAGTTTCAGATAGACCATGTCTCTATAGTTTGAATAACTCAAGAAGAAGTGACCCAAGAGGAGGAAATACCACTTGAAAACATGGTATAGTGATTAGACATATCTGTCCGAGGTACACAATAAAATATTGGAACCAATCCTCTGCATGTAATCCTCTGCATATAATCCTTTGCAATAAGTTTTTGGGTAGTCAGATTCTGAAATTTTAGAAGATTATAAACAGAGGACAACTTAAAATGTCTAAAATATTGAGCCAAGGTAAAAATTAATCAAAAAAGCTGGATGAATAACTGTAGGGTATAAGACAAGTAATAATATATGAGACTATGATGAAACCTGACAGTTATCTTGAATGTAACTAGACTGAATTTATGAATAACTTTGGCAGGACTACAACTGTAATCCAGTTGAAGCCAGTGTACAGGTAATCCCTGAGTTACGAGTGTTCACTTAACACTCATTCAAAGTTATGTGATGAGCGCCCCTAGTGCTTACGAGCAAGTCCCGAAGTTATGAATATTGCAGCACCATGGCAGTCATTCACCCTTATGAGCGACTGCAGTGACTCTGCAACATTCACCCTGGTTATTCCCTCCCTCCCCACCCCGTCCGGGGTCTCCCTAGGCACCAGTCCTTCAATACTCACCCTGCGAAGATCGAGATCCTTCGCTTTCTTGGCTGCTCCAGGTCTTCGATGTGTTCGCAGAGAATGGAGGCCTAAAATAACACAAGATTGCACGAGATCTCACGCTACTGATCTCACGTGACCTCATGATACTTTAGGCCTCTGTTCTCTGCAACAGAGAATGGAACCTAAGCTAGGGTACGCTTCCATGTTCCTCCAGAGGCTGGATTGGGGCTCCAGAGACCTTTTTCAGGCCACTGCGGCCCGGATCTGAGGCTGGGAGATGCTTCTGCCCCCCCCTGTGGCCCAATCTGGGTCCGGAGGTCTATTCCAGGTCGCTGCTGCCCGGATTTGAAGCTGAGAATGCTTCCGCACCCCTCCGCGGCCTGATGCGGATTCCAGATGCCTTTTCCAGGCCACTGCCGCCCGGATCTAATGCCAGGGGATACAGGTTTACCATTGCCTTCACATGCATTATGAATTGATGCCTTTGCCATTGTCACTAAAGTGATCAACTACATCCAGCATTTTCCATACTTCTTTAGTATTCGTATTAGTCATTAACTAACTTTTTCAGTTGTGATTCCGCCTTAACATTAAGTAAGGTATGCTCGTGGTATCATCTAGTGAATCTGAACCTGTGGAACAGTTTCTAAAACTATCACAAGAGCAACATCGGATTCAACATAGTAATGAATATTCCTATCCAAAATGGTTTATTCCAAACACATTGAAATATTACGTGTTGTTGCATGATGTGAGTATAGGAGAGGAACAAAGGTGAGTAGGCATCGCTAATATTTCATTAGGCTTCTGAAATATTAATTTCAGCTTGTCCATTTATTTGATTTAAAATAGATGAAAAGGTAGCCTAAAGACACCTAATAGTTTGGTCATTAAGAGAAATCAGTAATGTGGATTTAAATGATTTTCACCTGTGGGAAATAAGTTGCTGCTTGTCCAAAGCCATTCTCCATCACCTTATAGAAAAGAGTTTGGAAGAAAAAATAATTGATTGTTCATTATTTAATATTTTTAACTTCTACTATACATAATGGAATTTTCTAAAAATTAAATAGTATTAAACATGGAGAATCTTTAGCCTAGGAGACTTCTACAAGATAGAGTCATGTTTTAATTTCTTTTTTACATTCCTTTTATAATTCTACATTGGGTTATAAAATATGTATAAAAAGAAAGGATTTTTTCCCACGCTTATGCCATTACTATCATTCAAGGCAATATATTTAAAACATGCTTGCATTCTGGCTAGTTAGGGGAATAATGAACTAGGACTCCAGCCTGAGTATCTTACTTTGTCTTGACTTCATTTACACTGCACTTATTCTAGTTTTCCTGATGAATGAATGTTAATTATTGACTATGCACCCATTCTTGGATTTTTCATAAAATAATTTATTATCCAATAAATTTTCTTTCGATAACATAATTGTAATTCATTGATGCCTCTAAAAGAAATTGAAGCTAAAATCATTCAAGTGGCAATTATAATTTGGTATATTCCATCTGCTAGCAGAAGGAAAAATAATTATCCAAGAATAAAATATTTTCTCTACTTAATCACCCCTATATCATATTTTTCCTTTTGTGTTTAAAAATGCAAAGCTCAAATTTTGCCTCTTACTTCAACCAGAAACCATTCTTGTGCTACTCATAATTGTATTCATATTTAATAAATTTCTTCTCATTGAAGTTTCTCCTATTCTCTCTTTAAGTCTTTTAAAATGTCATAGTTTACTCTTGGCCATATTTAACATCTTTGCAGAGCTGATTCAGTATATGAAGAAATGAAACAGAGATATGGAACTCAGGGTTGCTACTTGCTTAAGATAAATTCTCGTGTGTCTAATCGAGGAATAGATGAACAGATTCCTGATCCTTGGAGCCAATACCTTCAGAAAAACAGTTTACAAACTCAGGTATCTATCTGTCCATCCATCCATCCATCATTTGTTTATTAGATTAAAACCACTCCGCGTCCATTTTATATTTCTGACATGTTGACTGCAAAGTCCTTTTAAAAATTATCTCGAGCATTTAATAAATGAGAAAATTAATATTTTAGGTGAGAATATAAATATAATATATTAGATGAGAATTAGTCTTATCTTAAGAAACGTGCCTAATATTTTTAACAGCTTTAAGCATCTATTGATATGGGACAGTCTTTGTTCAGAGTTCTTAGAAATAACTAATAACCTTGAATATACTATCTGTTTATTTGAAGAACAAAACACAGTAGACTTAGAATCACACAAACACATCTAATATGAATAGTAATTTAAATACATTAGCATATGTATATCTCTGTGTAAGTATATTAATCTTGACTTAATGTTAATTTTACAACATTTGCCTTTTTCCATAAACTCAATAAAATGTTTAACTATGTATGTTGATTTTCAAGGTAAATTTGATATATTTATCTCTAAAATGAAAACCTGGGGATTTTTGGATTTACCCTTTCCAGTTCTGCAACAATTGAACTCTAGTTATTACAAATTTCCATAGAAACCTCAGAGCCTATAGAATCTTATAAAACTTCTTCCAATTAATTGAATATCCTGACAAATTACCAAACTATTGCACAAAATCTATAATTTGAAAATGAGACATATTATTGGCATATAATTTTTATTTAACTCAAACACTATTATACCTGAAACATATCTTCTGTCAATAAAATAGAACAGCTGTTCCAATTGCAAATTAAAAATAAGAGAGATTAAGGACATCATCGATAACTTCCATGAGATACTTTCATAGATCAAAATTTTATTAGTAATAACTATAACAAGCTTGGGGCCTTTCCTGTTGCCAGCAGTTTTGATTTTGAGGAGTAGAGGGATTTGTCAAAGCAGGAGAACCATCAGTTGGGTAATAAAGGACCCCTCATTTCAACACTGAACTACAAATATTCTCCTTTATTGGGTAATAAAGGAAGATGGTAGAGAGACAGATTCCCTGACTGTCCTCTTAGGCTATCAGACTGAAGATTGGTTGCCAGAAAGAGGAAGATCTTTGAAATTGTCTGTGTCTTGCTAGCTCCAGCCAAAGAGACTTTCAACAGTGAAAGCTAAAGGAAGGGATCAGAAAACACTTTGAGTTAATTTAATGGAAATTTTTAGTATGAAATAGGTCACTCTTTCAAAAATAGATCTTAGAACTATGTAGTGTAATGCTTTTTATTTTCCATTCTTCATATATTAAAATACATATAAAGTACATGCAGTCCTTGACTTGACAACAGTTCATTTAGTGATTGTTCAAAGTTACAACAGCACTGAAAAAAGAATCTTATGACTGTTTTTCATATGTGATTCACTTAACAACTGTGGCAAGAAAAATTGTAAAATGGAGCAAAATGCACTTAACTGTGTCATTTAGCAATATAAATTTTGGGCTCTATTGTGGTCATAAGTTGAGAATTACCTGTATTACCCCCCTCCCAAATGTCTGTACAAATGTTTAAATATTGATCTATAATTTAGTGAGAATATGGTATGTCTGTCTTTCAAAGCTTCTCTTTAAGGCCAAATTGTTTAAAAATTAATGAACATTTTTCATTATAATATTTTGATGCATAATATTTTTTTTTAAATTGAAAGTGTTTTTGTATATTTTATTCTGACAGGAACTTTATGAAGATGGCACATATGCAGTTATTTCAAATAAGAATTCTGATCACTTCATACCACTGGATGGGTTAGATAATGATTCCAAAGGTGCATTTTTTTTAAATAAATAGACCAACTGTCATTCTAAGTATTTTATATCGCATTTTGATTACACTAGAATTTACCATACTTTTACCAGTTTATAAAGAATCATTTGTCACGAAGAACATGTTATTTATTGCAGATGAGTTCCTTTCTTTTCCCTTTCACTATACAAGTAGTCCTCGACTTACAACCATTTGTATAATGACAGTTCAAAATTAGGATGGTTTGGAAAAAGTGATTTATGACCCGTCCTCGAAGTTACGACTATCATATCACCCCCACAGTGATATGATTGTAGTTTGGGCACATGGCACCCAGTTTGCATTTATAATGGTTGCAGTATCTTGTAGTGATGTGATTGCCATTTGTAACCTTCCCAGCCAGCTGCCAACAAGCAAAATTGGTTGGGAAGTCCTAATGCTTTGTGATTCACTTAATGACTGTTGTAAAAATGGTTGTAAAATTGGGTCTTGTCACTTGACCATTCGCTTTACCAATACCCTGACATACGATGGAAATTCTGGTCCCAATTGTGGTTGTGATCCCAAGTTGAGGATTACTTGTATATGTTGGATGAAGAGAGAAAAATGTATGTATATTTATAGGTTTCTGTATGAGGTAGTGGCTTCTGTACAGGACAGAAAATCCTTGTCTTATGCAATTGAGGATCATTTAATTTTGTTAATGGGATTACTTACAGAGAGAAATTACATAACTTATTATTTACTTTATCTATTTCTTTTTTGGGGGGTGTATATGCATATTGCGGTAAAGGCACACTTTATAGGATGAATATTTTTGACTGGAGTTAGTAACTCTAGTTGCCACAAGGTGGGGAAGCAGGTATTTTTGCTTGCTTATAATCTTGTGGTTTACAATATTTCCTCTTTTGCGGAAATGGTCTTCAATTCAGAGGGATCTTCCTTTCACATAAATATGGTATATCCTACTTTTCAAATAGCTATTCTACCAATACAATTTATTTAACAGTGTGATTATAACAGTATGATTATAAATACAAACTTCAAGCTTTAAAAAGCAAAAATAAGAGCTTATCACAGGGCATTTGAAAGCAAGAAGCCAACAGGAGGAGAGTCCAGAGGAGCAGACTTCTTCAATAGCCTTTGTCTACCTTCTTTTTTTTTTTTTAGTATTTTGGAGGAAAACATAAAACAAAGGTAAAATAAGTGTGTTAAGCTTCCACTAAGGCAACACACTAATAATTATCTTTTAAAACCTACCCTGAAACTGAAAAATTCAGTCATGTCCCCTCAAGATTGTCACTATATTACTACCATATTCCCTGCAGCCTTTGGAGGCTGGAAAAAAATTAAGATACTTTAGTAAATAAGGTGCTGAAACTTGCCTTTTATTGTGACATTATTGATATATGTGTGTGTGCATTGTGGGTTTGATGTGGATATAAAGTTATAGAAATATTATGAAAGTATGAAATCTTGCAAGACAGCTAAATTTTATTATGAATACAGGTAGTCCTCGGTTTATGACCATTCATTCAATGACTGTGGTGGTGAACAAATGGTGGTTATAACTGGTCCTTGGAGTTTTAGCCATCCCAGCAGCCTCATGGTCATGTAATCATGCTCTGAGTGGCTCAATTTACTACCTGTTGCACAACCTGCAAACACATGATTGTCATTTGCAACTTTCCCTTCTGACTTCCCCAGAAATTCAATGGGGAAGCCAGCAGGGAATGTTACAAGTCTCTTCCACCCATGCACCTCCCCTCCAGTCCTTCTGTGGTTGCACTATGTCAGCCACTTGTGCAGGCCCTTCCTGAGCCTTGATGTGTCTTCCTTGCATGCTCATGTACCTCTTCACACCTTCATGCACCTTTCTTGATCCTCACCACATCTCCCTCACATCCTCATGGAGTCCCACACACCCTCCCCGACCCTCCCTGCATCTCTCACTCTAACAAAGGGGTCCCCAAACCCCGGTCCGTAGACCAGCACTGTCTGCGGCATGCCAGCAACTGTGCATGCAAACAAGCAAAGCCCCATCTGCAGTATGCAGGCAGCATGTAAAAATGACGTCCCCTCCAGTCTGTGGAAAAACCTTTTTCTACAGAACCAGTCCCTGGTGCTCAAAAGGTTGCGGGATGCTGCTCTAGCACATACTTTACCCCCCTCACAGACACACCCCTTGCACACCTCCTTGTCCCATTCCCTCTTCCACTGCTTCTTGGCTTGTTTTTAAGCTTCCTGTGACTTGCAACTTCCTTCCGTTGATTTCTTGTGGGAAGTTAGCAGGAAGTTGCCTCACCTAACAGTTGTGGGATTTGGTTAACAACAGCAGCTGGGATTGCAGCAATTGCTGTCACTAAGTGATGGGGTTGTGCTTTATAACCTCATTGTTTAGTGATGGAAAGTCTGGTTCCAATTGCCATAGTAAGTTAAAGATTAAGCAGTTTTCAAATCATTATTTATTGAATAGTTATTGGATATAATTTCTTTTTCTTAGATGGTTTATCAAATAACTTTAAGAGTCACCCACTTCAATTGGATCATGCTAGCGACAGTAGTTGCTTCGATGGCACAGATTACATAAAACCAAATCTATCTATGCACGAATCAAAGAAATCAAATATTTGGACACCTCATGGCACTTGTTTGACACTCACAGATCATGATCGAATTCGGCAATTCATACAAGAATTCACTTTTAGAGGACTTTTACCACATATAGAGAAAACTATTAGGCAACTGAATGATCAGGTAAGTAATTTTATTTTTATAAAATTGGGGCAGGCGGTTGGCTTAGCTGAAATTCAAACTAGATTCACAATCAAAACCTGTTATGTAAAATCTTTAATATATTCAGAACAAATCCTGTATATTATTTATTTCAGTGAAAGTCCTTAGTTCAGCTTATGTCAAAGTACATGTGCATAGTATAATTGATATTTAACATGCAAATGTAATACAAATATCATTGCCATTCATTTATAGAGATGATGTAATGCTCTAGAAAACCAACACAGTGTGTTTTAAATGATCTGAAGTAACAAACAAAACCTAGAGCCAACAAAGGCAAGATTCCTTTTATGTAAAGCCCTTCAGATTACTTTGATAAAATATATAATAACAAAAAACAAAAAAACAAAAAACAAATAATGAACATTCTTGCTTTTGAATTAATATCTGCTGCTGAAGAGAATTATATAGCAATGCTCAATAGATGAGTGGATCTGTAAATTCATTCATTTCCTAAAATAAAGCATATATTATGCTTTCTGAAGATAATAGGTAGCAATATTTGACAGAAGGTATAGCTAAAAAGAAAATTGTCTGACTTTTTTTTTACTCTTTCTCTGTAGGTGTGCATGTGCACATGTGTAAAAAACAAAAGTCTAAAAAAGGCAGACGATATATATGTTTCAAATGTATTCTTAATTTTTTAAATTTTGTGGATTTTTTGTCATAGTATTTTGTTTCAAAAAACTTTTTATTTTATCTTTGTGCTGGTCTTTGACTGTAATAAAGATTTGATTGGAATCTAGTATTTTGCATGGAATACATAGTTTTTTAAAACAGCTGTAAATCTCTGAAAAGTGTTTTCAGTGAATAATAAACTATTGCAATTTAGTAAGAAAATATTTCCATCTCTCAGTTAATATCCAGAAAAGGCTTGAGTCGCTCTTTATTTTCTGCAACCAAAAAATGGTTTACTGGGGGTAAAGTTCCAGAGAAAGGTGTGAATGAACTGAAAAGCACATCTGGTTTGTTGTAAGTAGACCTGTTTATAAAAATGCGAATACTTGAAATTTATTAGGTTTTGCCTTTTCTGATTTCCATGTCCACTGCAGTTGTGTGGCTAATAAATTTAAATTAAAAATAATAAGATAAAATGCATGTCCTTGTTATTTTAATAATATCAACACAGTTAATAATAACTACTTTGGGATGATTACATCTCCATTACATCTCCATCTTTTGCTTACAGATGCAACCCTGTGATCTTCTTTATGAGCTCATCATGATTAAATTAGTAAACTTTCTCTTAACCATAGTTTTTCTTATATCCAAATTGGAGGCTATTGACAATTTCATAACAAGCCAGGATATTTATCCAAATTTTAATTGTGGTTTAAGATCCTGATTTGTTCTACTCTAAGTAATTGGTCATTTTTACAGTGATGCTTCTATTTCAGTAGTTTTGATCTCAGTATTCCAAGCATGGAATTTATTTATATATATATATATATATTTTATAGCAACTGGATGCTGGGTTAACATTCATCAAGTGGTCTGCTGTGATTCTAGGATCCCTTTTCTGGGCAGACACTGCCAGCTTAGATTCCATTAATGTATTAGTGGTTTACATTATCTGCCAGTGTACAAATCACCCATTTATTCCTACTCTCTATTTTCTGTTTTTTAACCAGTTGTCAGTCCATGAGAGCACCTACCTATTACCCCATGACAGCTGAGTTTGCTCAAGCTTTTGGTGAGGGATTTTGTCAAAGGCTTTTATGAAAGTCCAGGTATATATGGTCTATTATGTCATCCTTGTCTACATGCTTGTTGACACTCTCAAAATGTCTAGAAGGTTAGTGAGACAGACTTAATCTTTATGGAATCCAGAGAGCCAAGGACAAGGGAGGCTCGTACTTATATGTTTGCTTTTTTTAAAAAAAGACATTTTTCCTGGGACAGATGTGAAGCTAACTGACCTATAATTTCCTTTATAATTTATTTTTAAAAATGGCTCATATTGGCATTTTTCATTTCTTAGGAACAGGTGGTAATGTTAAAGAGCAGTTGCATAATTTTGTGAAAAGATCAGCAAATTCACATTTAAGTTCTTTAAAAACTCTTAAGTAGATACCATATACAGTATAATGAGGGATAGGTTCCCTTTTTGCCCATCTCTTTACGTTTTCTTCTCTCATCTTGTCTGATCTTGTTCCTGAAAAATAAAATCCCTACATCTTTATCAGGGAAGATAAACACAAATAATTCACTCACTCACTTGCTATTTCTTTCTCCCGTTCTAACATGTCTTTAATACCCCCATCATTTCCTTAGTTTCCTATTCCAAATCAAACATGTGAAGAATTTGTTACTTTTTGTTTCAGTGTTTACAAAGTAGGGTTTTTTGGGGAGAGTGTCACTTTTTTTGACCTCCTCTAGTTCTCTGGCCACATTTTATATTCCTCATTGTACAGTAATCCCCAGCTGGCCAAAATTTCCATTTTTTTTAAAAAAAAGAAGCCTTGTCTTTAATAGTAACTGTGAACCTGCTTATTGACTGTGAACCTGCTTATTGACTTTTTTTGCCTACATGGTACCTCTCCTGATTTTAGGTGTATATTCTAGCTGATACACTATTGTATTTATGAATAACCTTCAAGCATTATGAAGAAAATGGCCCTTACTACTATTCCTTCTTTTTTCTTTTCAATAATGCCTTCGTTGTTTTTGGAAGTATTTTCTTCTGAGATCATGTTGGTGGAAGCATCTATTCACATTCCAATTGATGATTATAAAATTATGATCAGTTCTCCTAAACTTTTAGATCTTGAATAAAATTCTGAGCACAATTGAAAATTAAGTCCAGTGCTCTGTTGGGTTTTTTTGACTAGCTGTTCCAGGACATAAGCGATTTGGTTTTTGCCATATCCAGAACATGCCTTTTCTCAAACTTTATGAAGGTGATTGCAGTCACTAATGACTAATTTCCATCTATACAACAGCTTTAGATTCTTGGCCAGGGAGATGATAGTATTTCCCTAGTACTAACACACTTTTGCGGATTGATATGGATACCCCCAATGAATCAGAAGAATCTATGCCCTTATTGACATAGGATAACTCTGCTTCCATTATACCCCTTTCTGTCTTTCTAAAAGCCTTTTTCAAGAGATATGTCATGAGAAATTTTTATTCCCCCAGGGTTGTATAATGTTTGTAATACTTCTTTTTCTTTCAACATGAATCATTCTAATTTTCCCAATTTGACGTGGAGGCTCCTGAATAAGCTTGAACAAAAGCTTCTATGTTGGATATTGTATGTGGCAAGCTCTTTTAACTTTGTTCCTTCATGATGGTCTGTTCCTTCACTCTGGGATGATTCCCCCCCCCCTAAATTTATTTTATTAGATTTAAGGGCTGTCTAACTCCAGAATGACTTTGGATAACATGTTTTAAAAGAATAACTTTTGTTTTAAAAAAAATCATTATCATCATCAGAAACCATGCATATGCAACAGAATTAAGATAGAAAGGATGCTGTACTTCATATTAGAAAAAACAAGTCAACTTTATTATCAAAATTGATTAACAATCTTCCAGTTTTATCCCTTGTAAACAAATGTATTTTGTCCACTTGTCTTTTCTCTACTTTCTTTCAGGGGATCACTTTAAGACTTGCTCTAACACCTTTCTAATATTGCCCAATAGTATTCTAGAACCCTCCTGATTCAAAGCAGTTTATCCTTTTGTACAAATGTGGCTTCTCCTGAAAAGTATCACAATATCTGACAAATCTAAATCCCTCCCCTACATTCAGCACCATTCTCAGATTGAGATTGCTCAGTTTTGCTGGTCTGCTTTGTACTGTGTCAATACAGATAGCATTTCTGACAAAGGCACCTCAAATTCTCCAGTTATTTTCCTGATATCATTAATGCCAATATGTACCCCAACCACTGGCTCCTATCCAGCACTATTTACCATACTGGTGAAAAATCATGTGTTGTCCACAGGAATCTCAACTGAGTAACTGTGGTTAATTGAAAGTTTTCTCATTTATTTAGAGAGCACTGAAAGAGGAGGTAGGAAGAGGTTGCATGTGTGGTCAAAAGATATGGGCATATTGAACAAATATACTGTATATCACATATTTTGTATGCTAAAAATGAACTTGCTAATATAACAAACTTATCTTTAAAATAGTTGAATATATGATCTTCAAATTTGTTGCTTCTGCTTTCGATATATTCAAAATGTATATGCTACAACTGTAAATTGCATTTTGATTACTGCTATCCTCAACTTACAACCATTTGTTTAGTGACCATTCAGAGTTACAGAGGCACTGGAAAAAGTGACTTACCGTGTTTCCCCGAAAACAAGACCCAGTCTTATTTTTTGTTTTGGCCTCCAAAAGAGGCACTTGGTCTTATTTTTGGGGTATATCTTTTCCACCCGCTCAGCCATCCCACATCTTCTGCAGCCGAAGGAGCAGCTTTATTCTGCAGCTGAGAATGGAGCTCTGGCCTGCATTTTGTAGTCAGAAGCCTTTCCTGATGGCCTCTGCAGCCAAGTACTGAGGTACGGATTGAATCCATAGCTTGGTTCTCAGCTGCAGAGACCTTCCAGAAAGGCCTCTGACTGCAAAATGTAGGCTGGAGCGCCATTTTTAGCTGCAGATTGAAGCTGCCTATTCGGCTGCAGAAGAAGTGGGTTGGTGAGGCAAGTGTTGATCTATGGGAGGCCTGGCTACAATGTTAAGCTCCATCCCCCCCGCTTGATTTTTAGGTGTGTGCCTCGCCCCAAAACTAGGGCTTATTTTTGGGGTAGGTCTTACTTTTGGGGAAATACTGTATGACTGTTTTTCACACTTAAAAACTGTTGTAGCATCCCCACAGCCACATGATCAAAATTCAGATTCTTGGCAACTGGCATGTATTTATGACACTTCTCTTGTCTCGGGGCCATGTGAGCACCTTTTGCAACCTTCTGACAAGCAGAATCAAGGAGAAGCCAGATTCACTTGATAATCATGTCACTAGTTTTAACAATTGCAGTGATTCAGTTAACAACTGTGGCAAGAAAGGTCGTAAAATGGGGCAAAACTCACTTAACAAATGTCTCATTTAGCTACAGAAATTTTGAGTTCCAGTTGTGATCGTAAGTTGAGGAGTATCTGTACGTGGCATTCAAATACATGACCTGGGATAAATTTGACAAATTGTACACCTGGATAAAAAAACAATATTCTTATTTTTGTTTCCAGTGTTAGTGTATCATTGAGAGAGCATACAGGTAGTCCTTGACTTAACGATCACAATTTGAGCCTCAATTTTTTGCTGCTAAGCCAGGCAGTTGTTAAGTGAACCATGTAGTTGTTAAGTGAACTTTCCTTGTCAGAAGCCAGCTGGGAAGGCTACAGTGGTGATCACATGATCCTAGGACAGCGTTACCATCACATACATGACGGTTGCCAAGTGGACAAATTTTAATCATGTGACCATGGTGATGCTGCAATGGTCATAAGTGTGAAAAATGGTCATAAGTGACTTTTTTCAGTGATGTTGTAATTTTGAATGGTCACTAAATGAATCATTTTAAGTCAAGGACTACCTGTTTTATTTTGACCTTAGAGAAGAAAAGAAAAACACTGTTCTATATAGTTTTGTTGAAATTAGAATTGGTAATCCTTTTTTTAATAAAATATTTAATATGAATTAATTTCTTCTTGTTCCATGAATATAATTGTTCTCTTGTAGATGAAAAACTTTGTATCCAGGCACACCTGTTTTCTAACAGATTTGAAACTAGAGGAGAAGAGGAGAAATCAAGCAGTTAGTGTTAACTATGATATATAACTTCAGGGGACCAATATATCTTTCATTTAAAAATGTTACAGATAGGCTAGAAATGGCTGTTATCATTATGCTTTTCTTTGAACATATATAAATATTAAATTGGTAATTTGGACTAGCTGCAATGTGGTTTGAAGCTCGTATCTTTATGAATGTGGTATGGTTTATTTGATAAATTGTGCATTTTTATTTGTTTTTATGTTCAGATACTCTCCAGAAGCACCAGAGCTTCAAATCAGGAAAATGGCAGATTTGTGTTTTTTGGTGCAGCACTATGAACTGGCATATAGTTGCTATCATACAGCAAAGAAAGACTTTTTGAATGATCAAGCAATGCTGTATGCAGCAGGAGCACTGGTTGGTGCATTAGCATATTTGGGAAAAAAATATATTTGTGTTTTTCTACATGTTGTGTTACCCCCCCAAAATTCTTAAATGAATATTACCCATCTGCCACCTTATGTGTTCAGTTGTTTCTCTTATGTAGCTTACAACAATATAATCCGTTCTGAATTCTTAGGATTACGCTAATTGAAATCAGAAGTTGTTACCAATGCATATAATTTAATTACAGGGAGGAGACAATTTTTAGAAAATACATCTGTAGTTTTTAGACTTGATAAGACAGTTTGAACCATTGTGCCCATTCTACAGTATCAATACTAGAATCATGCTAACTGCCTATTAAAGCAAATAGGCTGACAAATAGAAAGGTTAATGCCCATTCAGTAGTTGCTTCCATTTATTCAATTAGCATTTACAAGTTCCCCTAAAGACTTTGGCCATTAGTTGTAGGGTCATTGTCATTGTCATATGATTTGCCACTGGAAAATTAAATTTGGGATTATAAAAAGAATGAGATATTGCTCCTACAGGAGCCTCAGCAAGTTGTGACAGTAATTGGAAAGTTAGTTTAGCAATAGTACTTATTTATATACCACTTCACACAGCCCTCTTAAGTGGTTTACAGAATCAGCATATTGCCCTCAACAATCTGGGTCCTCATTTTACCAACCTAGGAAGGATGGAAGGCTGAGTCAATCTTGAGCCACCGAGGATCAAAACTCTGGCAGTCAGCATAGTTAGTCTGCAATACTGCATTCTAACCATGGCACCACCACGGATCATCTGAAAGAACACAGATTTTCCACAATTGTACTAGATCAGGCATGTCAAACTCGCGACATCATGTGACATCGCGTGACGTATCGCAACTTTTCACCCATTGCCGGCAATGGGGTGGGTGTGGTTTCGGCGTGACGCATCCGGCCCGCGGGCCGGCAGTTTCACATGCCTGGGCTAGATGGACCTTTAATCTTTAGAATAACAGAGTTGGAAGGGATCTTGGAGATCTTCTAGTCCAACCCTCTGCTCAGGCAGGAAACCCTGTCCTATACCATTTCAAACAAATGAAATGAAACAGGTAGTCCTTGACTTACAATCACAATTGAGCCAAAACTTTCCATTGCTAAATGAGACAGTTAAGTGAATTTTGCCCCATCCTACAACCCTTCCTGCCATGGTTGTTAAGTGAATCACTGCAGTTGTTAAGCTAGTAATATGTTGCTTGTTAAGTGAATTAGCATTAGTTTATGTTCTTATGGAATAATAAGTAAAGCTACATGAAGTTACAGAATCTATAACTTTTATCAGATTTCAAGTTAACTTTTAAAATATAAAAATATTTTGAAAAGGAGTAAAGATTAAGCTTTTCAGCTACATAGTATATCAACCTAAAAGTGAGCCAATATATATGTGTGTGTGTGTGTGTGTGTGTGTGTGAGAGAGAGAGAGAGAGAGAGAGAGAGAGAGAGAGAGAGAAAGAAATGCTCTGAAAGGAACAAAAGCAGAGAACGTTGTTTTATATATTAAAATATTTCAAACAAAAATGAATTAGTGCATTAGCCCAGGTATATTGTCTTGTAATATCACCTATTGCATATCATATATCATTTTTTTATACTTTGGGGCATTATGGAGATATACACATATAATCTTTGGCATTAGATATGTTTTGTTTACATTTTAACTATGTAAACAATACTCATGTAATGCCAAAGATTATGTATATACATACTTCATAATGTATGTAAACCTAGGTCTCTTGCAGATATGGAAGAGAGCCAGTGTATAGGAGCAGGATACTTCTATTGCTCTTTTTCTTTTTCCTTAATTGTAACTTTAACTTGATTTTTGCCAGCTTAGGTTAAAAGAAATGTGCCTTAACTGTTTTTAATCAGAGTTCTCAAAATGATTTTCAAAGTAAAATGGATGTCCTACCTAGAGAGTCTGTGGGTATTGTTTTGATTTTGTCATTCACACTATTGTGAATTATGCTGAATCTGTATAATGTGCTTGGAAACTCAAATTTATTGTACTATAAAATGTAATTGACTCATGGTTGGATATGTGAGTACTTATGCCCAAATAAAAATTTCAGATTATAGAATTGTAGCAAAGTTATTTAATAATGACCACTTTTGCTTTATAGGAAATGGCAGCGGTATCTGCTTTTCTTCAACCAGGAGCACCAAGGCCATATCCTGCCCATTACATGGAGACTGCAATTCAGACCTATAGAGACATCTGCAAGTAGGTGCTTATTTTTGCTTCTTCTTAGACAGAGATAAACCAATCTTATTAAACATTTATCATTATTCCATAATGATGCACAAATAATTAGTGAAATATCAACAATAAAAATAATGGCAGTTGTAGTTTAACTATAAAATTATTTTCTTCAAATGAAATCAAAATTACTATTGCCTTCCTGAAGGCAAAGGCAGATTCTTATTTTAAATAACTATACGCTGCTCTACAGCAGTTCATAAGTTTTTATCATTATTTTCTAAGTTAAATCCTCAGTAAGTTTTTACAAATGGCAAGACTATTATTATACTGTTTAGAATTGTTCACTATTTCATAATCAAAATTGGAGAAAATAAAAAACTTTTAATTGATTATGTTTAATTAAAATATACAGTGCATATTTTCTATGAGAGTGCAACAATGGGATATTAAATTATACCCAAAGAATTTATTTTGTGTTTCATAGGAATATGTTGCTGGCAGAGAGATGTGTGCTCCTTAGTGCTGAAATACTAAAAAGCCAAACCAAATATTCAGAGGCAGCTGCTCTCCTTATTCGTTTAACCAGTGAGGTAGATAAGATTTTAATTGTTTTGTTTTTGTATGTTGCAAAAAAAAAAAAAAGGATTTTAAAAATATGCATTTCTTAAGCAGATGGAATAGTATCTGGAAGAAAGGTTTTTAAGATTAAAATAATACTTTTTTCTGTATGTAATTGCATGTACACCATGTGACATTTATTTGTTTATAGGAAAATTATTCATCTCTGCTATGGCTACAGATTAATCCCTTATACTTACTCACACTCATATTGGCAACATCCTGATAGAGTTCACTGAAAGATATAATAATTTATAGCACTTTTTAACTGAAGAAAAGAAAACATGTTCAAGTAAACAGATTTGATAGATGTAATATAGATGCTAAAGATTTGCAACTTCACATTTTATGCCTTTTAAAGTCATGCATGTTCCGATAGTTAGCAGAGTAAAAAGTTTCTGTCTAGAAATCATAAGCTAATTAAAAGGTAAAATAGTGAATATAAGTGTTTCAAGGCAAGGCCTTTAAATTATTTAAGCATATTTGTATTATAATAGAATCATAAGGAATGTTATTCTAAAATTATTTAGAAACTATTAATATTTTGAAACCATATAAATGATACCTCAGTTGTCTATTATCAGCTATAGTTTTTAATCAGATTTTAATGAGCATTTCAAAATTAGATTTAGGTTTGTAATATTCAGTTCTTGTTCCCAATCTTCATTTTCTTTTTGTTTAATTGAAATATTTTAAAGCTTACATTCTTGTTTTTTAATTTTTCTGTGGAAAAAATGGCAGCAGAGCGCTTGGATGGGCACGGTGAGTGTTAGAAATGTCAGTTGGAGTAGCTGGAAGATTAGAATATGATGAAACACGTGCTAATTTCTTTTGATTCTGGGTAACAAAATAATTAATTGTTATTGATGCATGTGTGAGATTCAGGACATGGAATAGGTGCATTAAAGTATTACTGTAGTCATACAGAATGGACAATTTTTGAGGTACAGATGAATAAGAATAAAACATGATAATCTAAATCAAATCAAGAGGATATCCTTGTGGAGCACATTTTATTACAATGTTTACCTTTGAAATAGGTTTTTTCCTATAAGTATTCTTTGTCTATCCTGTTACTAATGCTTAGCAAACAATGAGGTAATAATGCTTTTTAAACTGATATTTCACTGGCTTATAAATCAATTAATAATATGGCATCAGCTAGAAATATAAGCCTTTTAACAAGTTCAGTCTTTTCATTCAGTGGCAATTCTGAGAAACAACACTATATTTAAAATAGGTATATAAATTACATTCAGAGAAATAAACTGTGAGGATAGAAAATTAATCAAACTTGACTGATAAGATATAATCTGAAAAAATATTTACTAAAATGTTTTAGAGATAATTTACAATACCAAAAAGCTTCTCTGTTTAGGAAAGCAAAATCATGTACATATTTTTTAAATTCAGTAATAGAACCCTACATTATCTAAAATAATCCTGAGATTTATTTTCCCCTCTGATGGATGTTTCTGTCCAAGATAAGAAATGAGATTTGATCATGAAGTGGATTTAACGATGCATATGAGCCATTGTCAGGGGAATTTTATAGATAATTTATTCAGTGTTAGTTATGTGTAAAACATGCACTGTTTTACTGCAGTAAATGGGTGTTTGCATAGTTTTGGTCTTCAGAGCTTGTTGTTATTTTTAAGATAGTTGCAAGTTGTCTAATTATTCACTCTTTCTAATAGGATTCAGATCTTCGAAGTGCGCTGCTGCTGGAACAAGCTGCACATTGTTTTATAAACATGAAAAATCCTATGGTTAGAAAATTTGCCTTTCATATGATACTGGCTGGACATAGATATAGTAAAGCAGGACAGGTAAGTTTGGCAAATCACAAAAGAAATTCTCACAATTTCATTGATTTGTTTCAATGTTTTTAAAATTATTTAATATTATACACTATACTGCCACTCAGGGGGGAGGAACAAAGCGACCCACGGATTGCAAGGAAAACTTCATCCCAGCCCCCCATTCTGGCATGTTCCTGATGTAGCTTATACAATACAAATGAATCTGAAATATTAGCTATATATAGATAAGCATAGCAAAATTTTATAGCATATCAAGTTCTAAAGTCCTTAAAAGTTCTAGAACAGGGGTGTCAAACTGCCGCCGCGCGGGCCGGATGCGTCACACAGAAGCCACGCCCACCTCATTGCCGGCAATGGCAAAACTGTCCCGATGCATTGTGCGACGTCACGTGACGTCGCAGGTTTGACATGTCTGTTCTAGAAGAATATGTAGAATTTGTCAAACGACTGAAAAAGAGAACAAAGTTGATAAATCTCTGAAGAGAAAATTATATAAATGACTCATCATAGCAGAGAATTAATTCTGTAACATTGTCATATGCTGTATCTCTGATAATGGAAGGATCTAAATTAATATATTGGCAAATTATTTTGAAATTCTTTATATAACTCTTGAAATAGCTTAGAATGTCATATTTCTGTCTTAAAGTGGAGTATAATTCTTTTTGGTGGATGTTATTTATTTTGCTATTAAATTAAAATGTCTGATAACACTAGAATTTTTGGAGATGAAGAAAGAGGAACACTTATAGTCAGTCTGTGGCTTCATATTAAATAAATGTAGATAATTTTAATAAATACTTGTATAAATAATCTTTGAAGCTATATTTATTAATCCCCAAAATTATTTATATAAGAAGAAGCTAAAGAAGATAATTATTTTCTAACATATATTTTTATTTAAAGATTTGTTTTTACTTGTTTGTATTATACTAAACAACTCATGACCTACTGGGTCATCATTTCAGAAATACTTCCTTAGCAGATTCCTTGGTGCCTTTACAATAGTAGAGGTTCTACTGCACTGAAAAGTTCTTAAAAATTCAGAGGGATATTCAGAAATATAGCTGCCTTGAAAGTAGTCCATGCTGAATTGTATAGCATAGACCAGGGGTCCCCAACCTGAGGGCCGCGACCACTGCGTGCGCATGTACAAACACATCCTCTCACTCATGCTAGTGCCGTGGCCGTGGCACGCGAAAACTGCTGTGCCTCAGGCGCAAAAACAGGCCGTGCTGCGGGGCGCAAAAATCTGTTGCCACACCGCAGGACACAAAAATAGGTCGCCGTCGTGCCTTGGGGCGTGGAAACGGGCCACTGCTGTGCGGCACAGAAATGGCGCCGCTGCACTGCGGGACACGGAAACGGTGCCGCCGCACCACAAGGCACAAAAATGGGCCAGCGTTGTGCGGCAAGATGCAAAAATAGACAACGAAATGGGGTGTTGTGCCACGCAAGAATTGGGCAGGGCTAGCGAGTATCACGCGGGCACTAACCCCACCCTGTTTGCGGCACACGCGTGCTTGCAGCCCCGTGTGCACACACATGTATGCACGTAAAATGCTTCCCCCTCCCTTTCCCTCCAGTCTGCCAACCGAGAAAGGTTGGTGACCCCTGGCATAGACAAACCTCTGCAGTTAACCACAGGAAACATTGTATGACATTTTTTTTATTATAAGATAAAAAGCTTTATGGTAATATGTGTTATGTATGTCATAAAATTACAATTCCATGGGAATCATGCATACCATTTTTTTTAAATACATTCTGTAAGTTAGTCCATTTGAGGTACTTTGGTTGAAAAGGTTTGGCCTGTGAAGCACCATTTCACCCAGTTGGTTGCAGGAACAAGAATGTTAGCAGAACATAGATTTCTTATTCATTTATCAGTAATGAAAAAAATCAATAAAATCATCTGTTGCCTTATTTCTAAATGTTTACAGCATTTAGAATTTTATAACAAACCATTGCCTTTATGATAATGATTAATATTGTTAGCTTCTAACTTTGACTCCACCAATATTTAATAATATAAGCAATATTGATAAGAGATAAGGAAGACATTTGTTTGGTTTCCATTTTAATGTTAATTTACCTGTTTCTACTTTCTGAACCATATGCAAATTAAAAGAAATGTATCCAGTATTTTCCTTTCCAAGTGTTATGATAGAGTCCACTAGTTAAAAAATGTATATAAACTACATATATAAGAGGTACTCTACACAAATGCTATGCCTCAGCAAAAAGAGCACAAAAATATATTGCATGCCTAGATATCACTCATAAAAGCATATATATTTGAGAAAATTGGATATACAAATATGTATATTTCATGAAATGTATAACTAGATGAGTACATATTTCCACATAGACATTAAGGAAAAGAATAATGATCTGAAGACTAAACAAAACAGGCTTCAAATAATGAGAAATCAAGCAAAACTGAAATTTGCAGATTTGTGCATTCCTCACTAACATAAAATACCTTTTTGTTTTTTTTTAATAATATGCTTTCAATATGTGGCATGCATAATTGTTTTTACACTTAAAATGTTTACAGAAAAAACATGCTCTACGATGCTACTGTCAAGCAATGCAAGTTTATAAAGGGAAAGGGTGGTCCCTTGCTGAAGACCATATCAACTTCACAATTGGCCGCCAGTCTTTTACCCTTCGGCAACTTGATAATGCTATATCGGCCTTCAGGCATATTTTGATCAATGATAGCAAGCAAACTGCGGCTCAGCAAGGAGCCTTCCTCCGAGAGTATCTTTATGTTTATAAGGTAAGTCACCAATGTAACTCTCAGTAGAATCTTAATTTGTGAGTTTGCCATTAAAATATTTTGCACTAAAATTTGAAGGTTTTGCCTTTTTAGTTGAAATAGTAAGTTCCTTTTTGAACATTTTTCTGTTGCTTTGAGGACTGAGAACATTGCATTTTGTTCTACCTCAAGATATTTGGTGCCTGAGAAAAAATTGAAATGGCAATTCCCTCTCTCGAATTAAGACAGAGTACAATCCAGTATTCTCCCTCAGTCAAACTTGTTTGTGTATAGCAACTAAAATGTAATACATAAAGTAGACAAATATGATTAATACTATCCCTGATATATATTGCAATCTGACAACTTTTCATTCAAGAGGTGGGTTAGATACCCAATAGTATTTTTTTAATTCAAAATATACACAGTTTTTATTTGCTAAACATGTTTAGCTTGTTTGCTTGTTTGTTTTTGCAGAATATAAGTCAATTGTCACCTGATGGCCCTTTACCACAGCTTCCTTTACCCTATATTAACAATTCTGAAACACGTGTATTCTTTGGACATGACAGACGACCCGCAGAAGGTTATTGCTTTTTTTTAATTGTATGAGTATTAAGATATTATATAAATGACTGTAAAATTAATATTTTAGGCAGAATGAAATGGTAAAATATACTTCATATGGTGTACATCCTGCAGTTGGGGATCTTTTTTAATATCCGCCATATAAAATTACCAGCAAATAGAGAATTAAAAAACTATGAGCTTGGGAAATGCCCTTACTCACCACTTTTCTCTGCTGCGTATTGCTTCCATTTTCATTTTCTATATATAACTTAGAGATCATTAACATTTAATGTCCTCTCTACGGTGGGCTGAAAGAGTGCAGTTCACTTTACTTTTTCAGAATTGTAGCTTCTAATTTTGCTGTATACAATAGCTCAAGTTATATTTTGTATCATAGAATATTTATTTTTGGATGTATTTATTTATCTCTATGCTCCATCTAAATGAAACAAATTTAAGTTTTAAGAGGAGGCAGGCACCCTTTTTATGACTTGAGGCTACATCTTTTAACTGGCAAGAAATATGATGGTGATAATATTCATGTCAAAGGAAGGAGCAGGGCAGAATTTTTCTTCTTTTTCATTCCCCTATTTTGAGGAAATTGAAAGTTATGTTTTGTTGTTGCTGTTGTTTTCTTGGGGGGGGGAAACGACCAAATTTGTATAATAACATGCTTTATGAAAAAAGCAGAAAGCAATGCTGCTGTTCATGAGCTTTCTGCCAAATTTTAACACTACAGTCTGGGGGAGCTCCAGTGTCTATAAAAAAAAAAGGCTAAGGTCAGCATGCAAATTATAGACTTCATACTTGATTTATTTTTAAAAACTCCAGGCCTTTCCATAATCTCCTTAGTTCCCTGCCAACTTAGTTGTTTTGTTTCCTATCTCACAGTCAGTGACACTTAAATTACGGACTTCTGCTTCTTTCCTGATAATAGCACATAAAAAGGTACAAAACAGGCATCAAAGAAATCATATGAACTTTTTTTAAAAAAAGCATAATATCATATGAAAAAACAACAGGTGAATTATAGCATAAAAATTAAACTTTTTTATTTTTATTTTAATATTGACATCTAGGTGAAAAACAGGCAGCAACACACATAAGCCTTGATCAGGAATATGTTTCGGAATTTTCACAGCAGTGGAAGGAACTTGAAGAGCAAGTTGTATCTACAGTTAACAGAGGGACAACGCTTCCTAATTTCCAGCCAACACAGTATTGTTTGAACAGATATTCGGATAACTCTAGGTTTCCACTTGCTGTAGTAGAAGGTAAACTTGTGTAGATGTACAGATAAGGAATATATGAGATACAATTATTTTAGGAATGGCAATTTTAATCTAAAATTTACACATGGTTTATTAAAATCATACTTAGAAACAGTCTTTCTAAAAATATGTATACTTTTTCTTTTTAATAGAACCAATAACAGTAGAAGTAGCTTTTAGAAATCCACTAAAAGTTCCACTTTTATTAAGTGATCTGTCACTACTTTGGAAATTCCAACCAAAGGATTTCAATTCAAAGAATAATGGAGAAACAAAAGAATTTGTAAGTAATTAGAAATTGTCTGTAATAAGGATTTGTAAAATGCTAGTAATGTCAAAATGTAATTCCATATTTTATTAGATTGATTTCCTTTTTAATTTTTAGATAATGATGGCATTAAAGCTTAATATTAAACCAGAATTTAACATTTCAATCATAGTTTTGCCCAGTCCTCACACATTTCCTTTTGTCCTTAGTATAGCAGCAAGATGTTTCAGAGCTTCTGTGTAAATTCTGTGTAACAAAAATCCAACATTTCATACTGATCCTAAACTAGTATTAGGCCATGGACACTTGTGTATAGAAAAACAATTTTACTGTTGCCTGTCTGGCTTTTTTTTCCCCACCTGCTTTAACTTAAAACATTAATTTAAAAAAATATTGAAAACTAGGAATAATGCAAAACAAAGCACATTATCATATTTCAACCTTAGGAAATGGAAACAGCCAAAAATTGCAATTGAAGGATTAGAGTGCATGTCAGGGAGCAATTTCACCAGTTTGTAATCTTGTAGTGCTAAGCTGGGGTCTCCAATTAACTTAATACGATTGTATATCTAGGACATTTAGGGGTATATTTTTTCATCAGAAAATGTTGACTATGTAAACAGATGCAGTGTTTTTGAAAAGCACGAATGGCAAAAGTTCATTGTAAGTATGAATTTGTTTTCTTTTTTAGGAAACATGTGGAAAAGATATGATTGGGGCTGAAGTGATATCAGATTTTTTGATTAACAGTGAAGAAACTAAAATGGTAGGTAGGTTTGTTTCGCACCTTTAAAAAAAATAGGGATGGTTGCTCACAAAAGGATCTGGGGATTACATGCATTAATAACTCAAAAATGCATTTTGTTTATTCAATTTAAATGGCTATCCATGTTAAACATATGATTTGTAGCTAAGAAGAAATTAAAAACAAGATAAAAACCTAACTAAACAGTAAATAACAAATATAATATACAACATAAAATAAAACAGCACAATCAACATAACCACAATATGGGCTCAACCACGTCCCGAGCCCCAGGCTTAATAACAGAAGCGTGCCTTTAAAATCTTATGGAAAGCCAATAGAATTGAGCCAGATTAATTTCTGGATGAATGATGTTCCAGGAAGGGATACCATGACAGAAAAGATTCTTCTCTGGGGACCTGCCAGGTGACATTCCCTAACGGATGGGACCTGGAGCATGCTTCTCTGCCCTGTCCCATTTCACACACAAACAACATAGGTAGGGTTAAGCATATTTATTTTGCACAACCAATTTCAATCATTCCCCAAATCCCAACTCTGTGTGTGCAGTCCTTAGAGACAGTTTCAAGTAACCTTTCCAGAAAATGCCAAATGAGAGCAATGGGAGCAAGACAAACCACAGTCTCTTCCATGACTCAGGCATGAGGGCAATGCCAGCAAGATGAACTAAGAACTCCGGGCAGGATGACAGCAAGGGGAGTCAAGGGTTTTCAGTCAAGACAACAGCAAGATGAACTAACAAACTCTTAGAGCAGGATGAAAGCAATGGCTGGTTGCAAGGCCCAATGAAAACAACCACAATTCTCACAGATTTAAGGCACGATGAAGGCAACTTGACTTAAATGGGTGCAAGGCACAACAACAGGAATTTGACTTCAGTGGGTGCCAGGTATAATGAGCAACATGGTAATGAATTCAAGGCAATGAGTCACAAGCATTCACGGATGGATGGATGGATTACAAATGGTTGTCTCTGTCAACTATCAGGTTCCAAATGCCAAGGTAAATAGACATTGACTGATGCACCTCAGTAGGAAGGGCAAGGATGTCTTCTTGTGAGTAGCCTCACTGACCTCTGTTTGCTCGGCTCTGCATGACCTGGGATAGGGTGGGGGTGGCAGCTCCTCTTCTGTGATGTTTGCTTCCAGCTAAGTCTCTTCTCCAGCCTGTGCAACTGGCTCATCATCTGTGCTGACCAGCTGCAGCTGTCCCCTCTCCAGCCTGCGCATCTGGCTTTTTGTCTGGCTGCTCTCTCTTGGATTCCCTCAATGTTCCCAGCATAGCATCACTTTGACCATCCAATTCTGCCACAGAAATTTCCATGTCCCCCAGTGCTCCCTGTCATCCCTCCTAGACTTCTCCAGAGCTAGCTCTTCCTCATCATCTGAGCCAGCCCAAGGGAGCCATCACACACTCCTTCCAGATCCCACAAGACATGGAGATACAACCGACAGATAGCCCCATAAGCAAACATGGTTCATGTTTCATGAAAGGCTTTACAGGCCTTGAAACCAGAAGCATGCTAGCAACCAGTGCAGCACTCAGAGCACTGAAAGGATGTGCTGAATGAAAAGGCCTGTGCCTTTCATTCAGCACATTTTGCAGTGGGTGAAGCTTCCAGATGCTCTTCAAGGACAGCCCTGTGCACAGCATGTTGCAGTAGTTCAATCAGGAAATAATCAGGGTATAAGTGGCTGGAAGCAGGTCTACTAGTCCAGAAATTGGTACATGCAAAAACCCTCCTAACCATGTGGCAAGTCCAGGAGAACTCTCATTCTGTCTGAGGTAGTGTCCAGAATAAGTGATGGAAAGCCCATAGACCCCAAGCCGTTCAATCTTGCTATGAATGGGCAGCAACCCACTGTTTCCTATCCAGATCGCCCCCCCCCCCCAGTCTCCAGATATCAGCATAGGACCTCCATAGCATTACTCAGACAGCCTGGGATGGAGACATAAACTCTGCCAGCATACTAATGACACATCATCCCAAAATGTTGGAGGACTTCACTGTGCAGATTCATCTAAAAGTTAAACAGGAGAAGAAAGAATACTGAGCCCTGTGGTAGCCCATATAAAACAGACTGAGCTGGACTTCTCTTCCTCATAATATTGACTGAATTGACCCTGGAGGAAGGAGAAAAGTACAGTACCACCTTGAAGCAGGTACTGAAGGCTACTGAGAAGTCAAGAAGAACAAGGACAGATGCGCCACTCCAATTTCACTTCTACCAGAAATCATCTAAAAGCGCTATCAGTGCCATCTCAATGCCTCCAGATAATCTGTTCTCTGAAACTACTGCACAACCACCTTATACATACCTTTCCCAAAAAGAGAAGGATGGAAAATGGGCAAAAAATCAGAATTGTTGGATCTGGACAACATACAGAAAATATATTAAGTTTATATATAGCTTCTTATAATGAGTTATATAGATTCAATGTCTTAAAATGTGTGACATAGGTAGTTGCTTTTATATAGTAAGTGGTTTATAAATGTAAAATAACTACAGTAGCAACAACAAAAATTTAACATATCTCCACAGGCAAGACTAAAGCTCTTTCCCCATCAAACAGGGGAGCTACACATTCTGGGAGTCGTTTACAATCTTGGCACTGTGCAGGGTACTACGGTGCTAGATGGATTAGATTCTTCTATTGGATTACTGAGAGGTAAGCCTGTGTGGCATTTTCCATTCACTGAAGTTTCATGTAAGATTCCTACCATATTGTTAGATTCAAGCTGTTGTAGTTGAAATAATTGCTATCCCCAATAAAAGACAAGAGCTCATGGCTCCCAGAAATAGGATTAATAATGCATATCATTTAAATCAAAGATCTGATTTTTACAACTCAGGATGTTTTCCCAATAATTATACATCACTGTATTTCAATACATCATATATTGGAAGAGTTACCTTACATTTGCGTAAATTTGAATTTAATCAAATATGACAATAATATTTCAAAATGTGTATATTTTGATTAATTAACAGTCAGCTAAATGAGTAGTGAAATTTCATACTGTAAAATCTTGGTTTATATTACTTTATTCATTTGAAACATGGTACCCTGTTCTTGAGCCATCAAAACTCACTAAATGATTTTCAAATTAATAGAAGCCTCAAGCTTCTAGAGTAAGAATTGGAAGAGCAAAAAAGAAAACAATATTCTTAAATTCTCAATAATTTAATATAATATACTTAATATTATATTAATATACAGAATCTGACCTGATCAAATATAAAACTAATATATCTGATCTGTTTTTAAAAAACATTTTATCACAAGTAGTTGCAATGGATCATTGCATATGTGTAACACCTATTTGAGTAGATCTTCTTAGCTGCTGCAGCATCATGCGAAGTATTGGATGGTAATTGTGGGAGAAGAAAGAATGATGCTAGCTTTTCAATGGAGTTGATTTTTCCTTCTGCTCCCTTGCTGCAACCTTGATTTTTCCTAGTATCCGAGCTACACCATAACTGTTTTTATACCTGCTTTAAATATTATCTTAAAATTGCCATTGAAATTGTGGCTTAAGCCACAATGATGCTTGGATTATCGATTCATTTGATACACTTTGTTTTAGAGAAATATAATTCTACTGAAATGTCTGTGCGAGGGCGGCAAGATTTGGAAATCCAGGGCCCTCGGTTAAACAGTACCAAAGAAGAGAAAACATCTATTAAATATGGGCCAGATCGACGTTTAGATCCCATTATTACAGAAGAGATGCCTTTGCTTGAGGTACAGTTCAACAGCTGGCAACATCTGATTACTATTAGATATTTTAACAGTTTTCTGAATATACGAACCATCTTCCTACTTTTGATTTTTGGTTTTCACTGTACTTCAGTTTCAAATGTTTATATTATATTTAAAATCAGGGTTATAATAAAATGTAAGTACAAAATGTGAAAATTCCTCATTGTATTTTGTGGAGGCTGGAATAACAACAGACCTTTCTAAAATGAAGAATGTACTGTGCTTTTTTCTTCCTTTTTCTCATTTTAAGCTATTAAAATTGAAGCAGTCAGATAAAGTAGCATTTTAAATTTTACAACTTTATCAAAACATTGATTTCTTTCTTTTTTTAAATGCAGGTATTTTTTATAAATTTTCCAACACTGCTGCTTTGTGGAGAAATACGAAAGACATACGTAGAATTCATGAATGTAAGCAAATGTCCCCTAACTGGAGTGAAAGTTGTCTCTAAACTACCTGAATTCTTTACTTTTGGTAGTAAAGATGCTGTTTTAACTCCACTAAGCCCAACAGCATCTGAACATTGCAGTGCTTATAAGACTGTTGTTACACATTCTACCTCAGTATGTTCACTGGTATCCTCAGCTGTTGCTTCAGAATTTGGGGTTGGCACAGCAAGTCAACCTGAAATAATAGATGTCCCACTTCCTGACTCAGTTCTCCTCCCTGGAGTATCAGTACAGTTACCCATGTGGCTACGTGGGCCAGATGAAGAAGGAGTTCATGAAATAAATTTCTTGTTTTACTATGAAAGTATTAAAAAGCACTCAAAAATGTGGTAAGTCTTTTAAATCTATATTACTTTATCGAAGAACTAAAGTTTTCCAAGAAAATAATTAAACAAACGGAAAATAATGTTTTATAAGATTATATTAATTTCTATCATGTAACTATGGCTGAACATTTCACCACAGACAATGCTATATGACAGTGGTGGCGAACCTATGGCACGGGTGCCAGAGGCGGCACTTGGAGCCCTCTCTGTGGGCACATGTGCCGTTGCCCCAGCCTTGCCTCCCCCTGCGACCCCCTCACCAGCAGCCCCCCTGGAGGAGAGTCGCCCCCGAGCATGGCCCACACGGAGCAGTGCAGTCAAGGACATGGCAGCCAGACAGTGTAGACAAGACTCTGACCTCACGCCCCATCGTGCACAGTTGATGCTGCGGAGTGCGGGCAGAGGGCGTGGCTACCGTGGCGCTGCTCAGCGATCTGTGGCGAGCCCTGGAGGCAGTGTGTGGCCCTGTGGGCAGGCAGGCTGGGGGCGGGGCGGGGGTGGAGTGGGGCGGGGCCAGTTTTTGGGCACTCGGTCTCTAAAAGGTTCGCCATCACTGCTATATGGAAAACTGTTGTAGTAAAGAACATTGTCAATATATCCTGATAAATGTTAAATAACTCAAGTCTTCACAAATGTATTCCTCAGATTCTGAATGTACCTGTTTGTAAATATATGGGGCACAATTTGTTTTAAGAACACACATTAGTGTGGTTCTGCAGACAATAAAAATGTAATTTTCTCACATGCATTAATTCAAAATATGGAAAATTAGATTTAATGTAAAATATTAGTGCTGTACAAATTTTGGATGCAATCCAGAAAAATCTGTTTTCAATTAATGATTAAATTTTATTTATATATTTATATATTCAGTTACTTTGCTCATTCATCTGAAACAAGTGACTCGGTGTCATAAATTTACTAGGTTTATTATAGATTTATTATGAGATCTATAACTATTCTTATTGTTGACTTTCAACTCTATAAAATGGATCTACTAAAATATCCTCATAGAAAATTATGATTAGATACAGTGAACATAAAGCAGACCCGCTAAGCATGATCTCATTCCAGCTAACTCTTTTGGACTTCCATGAAGGACCAGTTTGATGTAGTTGTTAACTGTTGGTCTAGAAACCAGACACTGAGTCCTTGGTCCCTTAGGCTTGAAATCAGGCTGGGTGACTTTGGGTCAGTCACTCTCTCTCAGCTGTTACACATGCATCTTCGTATTTTGGGAAATGTAATAATTGTTGTGCACATGCTCTGTTCAGATTTTGCAGCAAGGTTTTGAAGATTCTTATAATAAAGAAAGCTTAATTTTAAAACCTTCATGTTTGTACTCTTAATTGTTAGCACCAATTTATATGATAGGTGCTAAATTGTACTTGAAGAAAATTTGACATATGGCCTGTGAGATATTTCTTTTTTCCAGTCACAGAGTATTGAGACACACTGCAGTTATTTGCACCAGCCGATCTTTGACTGTGCGATCTACTGTGTATCGGAGCAATGCTCTTGAGGATGAAAAAGGTGAAGGTGACAATATGCTAGTGTTTGTGGATGTGGAAAATATCAATACTGTAAGTCTTCTTGGAATTGGGGAGTAACATTGATTGCATTTTAAACAACCTTTCTGTTCTGCTATGAAATATTTGTTTAATTCTTTAAAGTATGTAGAAAAAGTCAATACTTTTAATCATTTTCCTTCTTCAGGACTTCATAGAAATTTGAAAATAAAAAAATTTGCTATATAAACAAAATCTAATGTAATTTCCCAACCAACCACTTCCATGTAGGAATAGCTGCTCATGTTGCTATTATGTGTTTTATTTTTAATTGCTTAGTGTGTGCTTCGGGATTCAGATAATTAACTTTTGAAAAGTATCTAGACTAAATATAGTTTTAAAGTGTCTCTGTAGTATTCAAATGGAAATCCTTACTTAACAACTTTTAAACTTCTTTTTTTCTCTGGGATGAAGTCAGCTAAGTTTTAGACATTGCTCTTTTTCATCTCTACCTAATTTGATTTGCTGCAGAAGGCAGTGAGCAATCAAACCTAAAGATCATGCGTCTTTGATTCTCTAAGAAATAATATTTCTATAAAGCGAATATATTCCTGCAGTCTAAAATGAAATGTTCAATATTCTGGTCCAGATCTCTGTTTTTCATCACAATGAGGGGAGCTGAGGAAAGAGTGGATAAGATCAAAGCCTATTTCTAATCTTCCCACAGAGATAATTCTGGTTAAAATACAGTGCACTGGATAGATATAAATTATACTGGAAAAAGGACTAGCACAAGAGCATCACAGAGTTGTGCTGATGTGGAGGGCATAGGGAATGAACTTGAAATACAAGAGGATCATTCTAAGAAGCTAATTTAAGTAAACATCTTAGACTCCTTACTAATTCACACAAAGATAAAGTAAGGAATGGGGGAGCACATTCAGACTTGGTAAGTTTCTGTTATTATAGCTCAGTGGTGGCGAACCTATGGCACGGGTGCCAGAGGCAGCACTCGGAGCCCTCTCTGTGGGCACATGTGCCGTTGCCCCAGCCTTGCCTCCCCCTGCGACCCCCTCCTTTCCAGCAGCCCCTCTGAAGGAGAGTCGCCCCTGAAAATGGCCCACACGGAGCATGGGACATGCAGCCAGGCAGCGTAGACAAGACTCTGCCCTCACACCCCATCATGCAGTTGATGCTGCAGGGCGCAGGCAGAGGGTGTGGCCGCCATAGCGCTGCTGGGCTGCCTGGGCGATCTGTGGTGGGCCCTGGAGGCGGTGAGTGGTCCTGTGGGCAGGCGAGGTGGGGGATGGTGGAGCAAGGGCGGGCAGGGGGTGGAGCAGGGGCGGGGCCAGTTTTGGGGCACTTGGACTCTAAAAGGTTCGCCATCACTGCTATAGCGGTTCTAATAAAATTGGCTTATATGGCATTGGTTTCTTAGTCTAGTCTACTTTATAGGACTGATGTCTGTTTTTGACAAAATGATGAAAGCAGGGTTGATTGCAAAGTCCACCCCTTTTGTATGTGCATATGATATCACAATACACAACCCAAATACTTGGGGCTTGCATCACAACATCAGTTGTGTCATTCTGACCTCAAGTTTTGTAATTCTGATGCTCTTCATGCCCCAACAGATGTTAGCAGCAAATGACATTTCTATTTCCTTATTCTCTTGACAACATTTTAGAACCCAAGAGAAGTATAAAATCTCTAAGAATTTTAGATTTCAAGAAAAAGATTGAACTACTCTCTTTTTTTTGTATGAACATGTAATGAGATATGAGATACTGGCTAATGCCAGTAAGTGCTGGTCATAGGTGTTGAGCAAGTGCAATGTTCATTGAATTAGGAACATTGGCTATTTATATACCGTGTTTTCCCCAAAATAAGACCCCAGTCTTATTTATTTTTTTTGCCTCCAAAGAGGCACCAGGTCTTATTTTTGGGGGGTGTCTTTTCCACTTACCGTATATACTCGAGTATAAGTCGACCCGAGTATAAGCCGAGGGACCGATTTTCCCACAGAGAACTGGGAAAAATTGGTGACCCGCGCATAAGCCGAAGGGGCATTTTGGCTGTTCCTCCCTGGCCGCC